AGCCGTTTTACCTGACGCTCGTGGTCGACAAGGCAATAGACGTCAGCACTCGTGTGAAGACGCTTCGCGCTTGATGAGAAGCGTTTTCACACGAGTGCTGACGTCCATCGCCTTGTCGACCACGAGCGTCAGGCAAAACGGCTTGAGCACGTCGGGCACGAGCTCGGGCTTGGCGTTGATCGCCAAGGTGAACCGTCGATCGTCCGGCGTGTCGCTTGGCGTCTTGATCGTGGTGCGGTTGCCGTCGGTGTCCACGAGGCAATCTGGTTGGACAAGTCGAGCTGCGAATCCGAACGCCGCCTTGTTTGACGAAGCGGCGATCAAGACGGGCAGCAGCCCATAGCGCGTCGCCGCCGAGGCAACGGCAAGCTTGACGTCTACAGGTACACTTACTACGACATGGACAATGAACCATTGTAGATTTGCTGCTGACGAAGCCGTTGCGTGCGCTGCTCGCTTTCCGCGTCCGCGCCTCTCGACGCATTTGTATCGGCGACACACAACAGCTGCGAGCGACGGTCACCGCTCAAGCAACAAAGCGCGCCAGATATGACCGCTCGCTTTTCGAGCGATTTGAGACTACGTGTCGAAGCTCCAGGTACGTCACGCAGTCGCAAGATGTCATTTTCTAGCGAGCTCACACCATTGCTACCTAGATACAGTACCGCATGCACCCCCTCGTGGCGCATTTCTTGTCGGCCAACGTTTACGACGGCAGCCTGAAGAGCGGTCGGGCCGTGTTGTTCTGGAGCCGTTCAAACACGGCGCAGCTATTGACGTTTTACGACGTGCGCGGCGAGGAGCGCGATGCCAACGGCTCGTTCTACAACAACGCGGAAGCTGTCTTCATCATGGACATGGTACACCGCGTTTGTGCCGTCTCCGTACCGGTATGTCCCATGCAAATGGTGTAGGTGCGCCACATCAAGACGCTGCGAGCTGGCGCGACATTGTCGTACGCGATCCTGTCGCCGTACACGGGGCAAGTGGAGCTGCTTCGGAAGAACGTCGCCGCCGAGACGTGGACCGACGTCCAAGTCAGCTCGATTGACGCTTTTCAGGCTCTTCCACGATCTCGCTTGCGTATATGTTTCTCATTTATGTGCTCAAACAGGGACAGGAGGCCGATATCGTTTTGATGAGCACTGTCCGCACGAGTAGTCCAGGCTTTCTCACGGACTCTTCGTGCGGACAGTGCTCTTCAAAACGATATCGGCCTCCTGTCCCTGTTTGAGCACATAAATGAGAAATATATACGCGAGAGAGAACGTGGAAGAGCCTGAAAAGCGTCAATCGAGTTGACTTGGACGTCGGTCCACTTCTCGGCGGCGACGATCTTCCGAAGCAGCTCGACTTGCCCCGTGTACGGCGAGAGGATGGCGTACGACAATGTCGCGCCAGCTCGCAGCGTCTTGATGTGCATAGGGACGAAAGGCGCATTCGGTTTCTTGTAGGTCACGCAAAGTAGCTCGCCTCGGCCTCTGGTACAAGATGGCTCAGCAAGCGTTCAAGCTAAGACGCATTTTGTGACCAACGAGCAGCCGTTTATGGAGCTTTGTGACGACACGGAGACCGACGCCGCGCTCAGAGCCCACCAAGCAAAGGTGCACAAGGCCCTCCTCGAGATGTCTGCGGTCGCGCCAGATGTAAGAGATTCAAGTCGCGATCAAGGTGACATCACGCTCGTGTTGCAAGGGATGTGTGGGTCTCCGATCGCTCGGCGAGATGCCGATCATGGCTGACATCGTCCTCTTTACACAGCTTCATGCGAGCGAAATACTCATTCTCGATAGAGCACCTCGGCATGTGCTGCCCGCAGGATGCTGCATCGTTGTCAAGCAGTTTGCCAATGCGACGGATGCGATTGGTTTCCCGGTGCCTGGCGGACCTTGAAGAAGGCAAAATATCGGGGCCTGACTGTCGAGCATTTCTTTGATGGCGACGCGTTGCCCGACGCCGTGCTTGGTTGAGATGGTAGACCAGACGCCGTTGGAGACAAAGCGATGGGCCAACTTGGCAGATCCCTCGAGTGCATCCACGCGACCCTCGCGGGTCAGGTTTCCATGTCGACTATCCGATTCTCTTGAACACGAAATAGCCCTAACAATTATCTTATATACTAGTGTCCATCGACATGTGTAATATACAAGTTGTCGTACCAATCTGCAACCTCCCTCACTTTTGGACTCCAAAGGATTGTGCTGATGCACGGAACCCGTTCCTCGCGGGCTGCAGCTGCTGCGAGTCCGTCCGCGAGGCAATTATACCCCACTATCCTACTAGGATGAGATCTAATCAACCCGTGGTAGTCGTTGAGGCGAATTGTCAGTCCCCTAACCCCTCTCCAACTGCAACCGCAGTCATGCTTCTACACACTTCGTACGCCAGCACTCTTCCACCACTTGGTCGTGCCACGACGGCTCCTATGTACTAGACGATATTAACATTTGAATATTGCTAGCGATCGACGAGCGCCAAGATAAAACACGAATGGCTTTTCATACAGTACCGCCCGCTCACTCGCAAAATGCGGATTATAAAAAGGTGCTTTTTGGCCAATCAGCGACCGCCGTGCCATTGCTCCAATCACAATCGATTTGGCGGCTTTCCGGTCTTGCGATGGCAACGATATCGGACCCGCAGGCCCGGCGGCTGCTCGACGCCGTCGACGTCGCCAAGCGCGCGCTCGCAGCCTTTGACGCGACGCCGCTCACGCCGCCTTCAGTCGTCGTCGTGGGCATGCAGGCGGCGGGCAAGTCGTCGCTGCTCTCACGCATCGCCGACGTCCCGTTCCCGCACGGGACCCACGACGGCGCCTGCACGCGCGTGGCGTACGAGCTCACGCTGCGCCGCTGCGACGCGCACGAGGCGCCATCGACCAAAGTGCTCGCGCACAAGGCCGCGCTCTCGGATTTCGTCTCCAAGGAGCGCCTCGAGTACGCGCAGAGCCTCGTGCTGCAGGGCCAGAGCTACGACTGCCACCACAAGGTCCACGTCGTCAAGGCCGACGCGTACCTCCCCGAAGCCATCCTCGTGGACCTCCCGGGCGTGCCGTACGAGCACTGCAAGTCGGTGTCGCACCAAGAAGACCGCGACGTGCTCGACCTCCTCCGGACGTACATGGAGCCAGAGCACGGCCTCATCTTGCACGTCGTGCCGCTCAACAAGCCATTGGAAGCGATCCGGTCCTGGGACCTCGTGCGGCAGATGGACCCGAGCCTCGACCGGACGCTCAACATCTTCACCATGGGCGACCTCAGCGACGACTGCCCGGACGCCGAGTACATTGCTGCGACGCTGATTCCGCGCGATCTACTCGTGCCGTCGGAAGCCATTTTGATTCTGGACCACGACGACGACGCGACCGAAGGTCTCCACACGCTCCTCAACGAGCGCATGCTGCAGTACGTCATGGACATGAGTCTGCCGGCGCTCGAGCGTCAGATCCAAGTGCATCTCGGGACGTGCGCGAGTACGTTGGCCAAGCTCGAGCAGCAGTCGTTCCGGCTGGGCTTGCTCATGGCGCGCGAAGTGCACGACGTGGCGCAGTCGATTCGAACGATCTTTGACGCGTTCTTGCCCGAGCTCCGCGTCTCGATGGAGCGCGTCGTCCATGACATTCTCGCGTGGGAAATGACGCCGTTCGGGTCGATCCAGTCGCTCGACGACCGGCGCCTCGACCTCGCGGCCTTTGAATCCCTCGGGAAGCTCTCTGGCGACGCGGCGCTTCTACTCGACCTCGTCGTGGAAGTCAAGGAGATGACGTTTCGGTCGCGCGGCGTTGCGAACGAGTCGTTCCACCACCCGCGCATGCCGCTGCAGAAGTGGACCGAGGTCTTCGCCACGCACACACACAGCATCATGCGCACGTTCGTCGATGAGCTCTTTGGGCTCTTCCACGACGAACTCCGCGCCAGCGTCCACGGCAACGAGCGCTACACGGACTCGATGCGCCACATTGGCCTCCGCACGTTGCTGAACGCGCTCCAAGCGACAAAGGCCCGGGCGACCACGGTCGTCGAGAACATCCGCGACTGGAACCTCGGACCGGATCTGTACACGACCAACACGGAAGCGCTGGCGGCGGCGTCGCGCCCGAGTGACGCCGAAGCGTCATTGCTGGCGCAAGCCGTGGACACGCGGCCGCAGTGGGCTCCCCACTTTGAAGCGCTCTTTCACATCCGCGGGTTCCTCCGCGTGCAGCAACACCTTGTGGGCGATGCGATGCAGCGCGAGATTCTGCGGCTTCTGCGCGGCTTTATGGCCGACGTCGAGCGGCTTTTGCATGAATGCATGGACGAGATGATGAGCGAAACGGAGAAGAGCCAGCGACGACCGCCCACGGCCGAGATGGGTGCCATCGGCCGCCGCAACGAGTGGCTCGCGCGGCAGCAGGCGCTGTACGAAGCCCTCGCAGGTCTCGGCCGGTACCTCCCGCCCGTGACCGTCGTCTCGGGCCGTGACCCCAGCGAAATCAAGCGGCGGCGCATGGTGTAGCGTAGCGTACAAGCTCCGAGGCACGAAATATAAAGACGATTCCATCGACCAGCAACACGACAGAAGAAGACGATAATACGGCGGATGCAAAGGGGTCGATATTGATGACGCGATGTCGTCATTTGTGTCGTTGGACGATGAGACAAGAGAGCCTAGAACCTCGACGTGTTGCTGGCCTTGACCGGCAAAACACCGGGTTTCCGGGACCCGACGCGCTTGGCCTTGGGCATCGACGCCGGCTTGAGCGAAAACGTCGCCGTGTTGCCGCGCAAATACTTGTTCTTGGCGCCGTCGACCTTGTTGAGACTCGCGAGCAAGTGGTGCTACAGTCGCGTTTGAGTTTCAGTTGGAGTTATGATGAGAGAGGAGAACGTACGAGAGCCCGCGTGGCCTTGGTCGAGTCCCGCACGCGCTTAAGCCGGCTCATGTACCGGCGCGTCGTGCCTTGGCGCCGCAGCGAGCGCGACGACGCAGCGTTCTCGTCGTCGCCAGCGTCGCCTTCCATGTCCTGACTCCCCGTCGAGGCGCGGTGCCCGCTCCGTGCCGTCGTTTCGTCCTTCTACAAGACGGTGGTTGATACACTGATACTTGTGGAAACGCAAACCTTCTTGTCGAGCTCTTGCTCCCACATTTTGGCGCACGAGTCGTGGAAGAGGTGGCCCGTCGCCTTGATCGAGACGCTCGACGTGTGCCGGTTCCACTTCTCCTTCGAGTTGTAGTGCTGGCCCATGCCAAATGGCGGCTTAGAGAGCACGACCTTGCAGTAGTGGCACGTCACGGACGCGGGTGCCATGCACTTGGCCTGCGCGCGGCGGAGCACCATGACTTGGTCGTGGAGATCGGTGCTACATAATTTTGATCAATTTCGCACAATGGAAATCCGTGAAAAGTCATCCGGCATACCGAATGAGCGCGTTTGCGGTCTGGTAAATGTTGTGCTCGTAGTTGTACGTATCGAGCATGCCAAAGATCGTCGGACGAAAGTCGCCAAACTCGTCCTTGCCGTGCTCGTTGGTGATCTTGAAGAGAATCGCTTGCAGCGAGACGCACGAGGCCATGCGCTCGAGGATGATGCGAATGAGCTCGTTCACGGCGATCTGGAAGACCGTCTGCGCACCGCGCGTGCTCGTGCGGCCCTTGGTCTTGGACTGCATCGCCTTCTTGACCAGATTCTGCACCTTGAGGCACTGGTCGAGGAGCGTGAACCAGAGCTTCTCGCTCTGGTCGTCGCGGTGCCGCGCCGAATTGCGCTGACACATGGCGATCGCAACATCGAGCGTCTTCATGACCTCTTTGCCTTCCGGGACACTCTCGATAATGCTCTCTTGCTGCCACCCGGACGCCTCGGCCGACGACGCGTTCACGCCGCGAAGCGCGGGCTTGAGCACCTTGAGCTGCTTCTCCATGCTCGTGAGGATGATCGTGAGCGCGCCGTTGACATCGCCTGTGCGCTCGAGGAGGTACGCCTCGGCGTCCGTGATCTTGAACTCCTTGCAGAGCTTGAGGCACGTCTCGACCTTGTAGCTGTCGTGAGCCGCCAAGTACGGGAAGACCTGCGTCGGGTCAAACTCGCAGAGGAGCCGAATGAAGCGCTCCTGGACGGCGGGGTCTTCGGCCATTTGGAGCACCGCTTTCTCGCGCTCGAGAAGGTCGCGGATGACGTCGGCCGCGTCGTCGCCGTCGCCTGACGGACTCCCGAGGATGTGCCGGAGGTAGGTAAACTCCCACTTGGCGCCGGTTTTGCCGCCGACGCTCATGAAGCGCTGGATGAGCTTCGTGTTGAGCGAGGCAAAGTTCTCGAGCATGAGCACGACAAACGTGTGCGCGTCGACATCGAGGAGGCCGCCGCAGTGGTTGACGATGCCCATTTCAATGTCGGCCTGGCGCGCCTTGGCCGCTTCGCTGTTGGCCGCGTCCCCGTCGGCTTCGACCACCTTGTCGCGTTCTAGCCATGTGGTATGAGCCACCTTTGATCGCAGCCAAACACACGTACCCGAGCGGATGTAGGAAAAGACACTGAGCTTGTACTCGAGGTCGGCGTCGGCCAAATACGCCGAGATCGTCTCGTTGAACTCCCCACGGGCCTTGTGGAGCACGACCGCCGCGCCTATCGCTGCGTATGAGATCGGAGAATCTTATGGAGACGCGCACGGTTCATCGACTCCTTGGTGACACGCCGGAGGAGCGCGCCTTGGTCGTACGACGTCGGCGACAGCGTCTGGAGCAGGCGCACGAGCATCGCTTGGCGACCGGCCTTGTCAAAGCCGTCGTCGTCGTCGGTTGAAAGCGCCTGCGGGCCCGAGGCGAGGAAATGCAGAAGCGAGTCCATCATCCACTGGCTGTTGACGCTGCGTGCGCGGGCGTAGCTCGGCGCATCAATCGCGCCGCTGCTGAGGAGCCGCGCTTCAAACATGTAAAAGTGACCTTGGTCCGACGGGCTAAAGTACGGCGACGACGGGAACGGCGAGTCGTCGGTCGGAGTACCCACGAGGATCGACGCGAGGCTCAGCACCATATCCATGCGGGACGGGCACTTGAGCGTCAGGTTGCTGTAGCGCTGGGACGTGGTCGCCGACGTCGCCTCGCCGTCAAACTCGACGCTCGCGTCGTCAAAGAGCCGCGCGAGGATCTCAAATACCATCTTGGCGTCGAGCTGGATGAGCGGGATGAGCCGCGGGTACGATGCGTCTCCGTGGCCCGGCGGGTGGCGTTCAAAGAGGTGTTGGGCGACGCTTGCAATCATGCGCTGGTGACGCGACGCCGTGTGCGGGTGGGCGGCCACGACCTCGCGCTTCGGGAACGTCTTGCCCATGAGCATGTAGGAGATGTAGAGGAGGCACTTGTACAGGATCATGCGTTTCGCGCGCGCATTCGTCTCGTCCGCGTCCAAAAGACTCTCGTCCAGCGGCATCGGGGTGCTTGCGCCAGCCGCCGCCAAGAGCAAGTCGATCGGCGTCGTATAGTCTTGCTTGGCTTCGTTGTAGAGGTACACCATCGCCGTGTGGAGGTTATGGGCCTGGCACACGCGCAACATCGCGTCAAAGTCCATGTCGCGGACGCGGAGGTGCAAAAGGCACTTTTCAACGAGGACGAGGTCGCCGATCGCGAGAAAGTGTGCCACGAACGCATCGAGGACGGTCGGCGAGAGCACTTGGAGCTGGTCGTTGAGCACATAGGGCGCGAGGAGGCCCACAAACACGTGCGCCTTCTCCACGTCTTGGAACCGCTTGAAAATGTCGCCAAAGAGCAAGTCGGTGCGGTGGATCTGCGCGCAGTACTCGATCGCGACGCCGGCCAGCATTTGGTAGTGCGAGATCGCGAGGTCCGCGACCGACGACGACGACGGTGCATTGCCGATCGCGAGCCGCACATAGTCCATGAGGAGGTCGGCGACGCGCTCCGCGACACCAATGGGCACGACGCTCTTGGTGACCGTGCCGGACCGGGCGTTCTGGAACGCGGCCTCGAGCCGCTTGGACACGTCGGGCGCATACGGCGTCTCGCCGACGCACCACCGGACGCCTTCGTCCGCATTGTCTTCGTACCGAAAGACGTCTTCCTTGTCGCCCGTGCGCTGGTTGGTCTGGCACATGCGGAAGATGTCAACGACGCACTGATCCTTGTGCGAGTCGGTGAAAAAGACGGGCGGGAAGCGATCTCGCTCGGCGCGCGTCGCCGCGGCTTTCGTGAGCCCGTCAAAGTGGTCGAGCGCGAGCCCGAGGCCTTCGAGCCACTCGCCGTCTTCGATGAGCGCGTCAATGCGCTGCGTCCACGGCTGCACGCGCGCCGTCTGCAACTCCTTGAGGCCGAGCAAGTAGAGCATTTCGTTGCACGCGCGAAAGCTACCATGTATCAACTTGATACATCGACGAGACATTGCGAGACTACCTGTTGGCAAAGCTCCGGCCATTGTTGCCGCGGTACGACGCGTACACAAGACCCATCGCGCTCACATCGACGATCTCGAGCTCTTGGCGGCTCATGGTGTCGTAGACGCAGAGCTCGTCTTGGTACGTCAAGTACATGACCACGTGGTCGCCGAGCCACTGCGTCGCGACGACATCGCTTGTCGTGCTCATGTGGTTGGTCTCGGTAAACGTCGGCCAGCCGTCTTTCGCGTGCACGTGGCGCGGCTGGAAGAGAATCTCGAGAAACTGCATGTGCTTGCCCCAGCCGCGCGCCAGCATTGGCGTTGGCGTGTCATTGCGCGCCCCACCCGGCAGCGCGACCCAGGCGAACGCGAGCGACGGCAAATTGTCGTTCGTGAGGCCATCTAGAGACGCGATTGGATACAAGCGACGTGATTTAAACAGAGGAGTCGGTGTACCAGGTTTGAACCAACGGTGGAGAATGCGCACCTCGGGCTCGATCGCGACAAGGAACGTGACCTTGTCCGTCGAGATGGCTGCAATGCAGTACGTGTCGGTGATGTGCCCGACCTTGGCATGCCCTGCGGACTGCGGCAGGATCGCGACGCTGAGGATCTTGCCCGCCGACCCGTCGTAGATCGGGTCCGTGTCGACGACGTAGACGTAGCCCATCATCTTGGAAAAGTTGATCTTGTTGGCCATGCCACTAGTAGACACATGTCAAGCATGGATAGGCGGCGATGGAGGAGAAGAAAACGCACTTGGCATCAACCGAGAGAATGCACGGTTTTTGGTCCTTCATGAAGAGAAGGCTCACAACGGGGCAGTCGTGCGCATCGGCGACGACCTTGAGCGACGTGCCCTTGAGCATGTCCCAGAGCACGATGCGGCCGCTTTGGTAGCCGCAGACGAGAAAGTCGCTGCCGGGTGACACGTCGATTGCCGTCACGGCGCCGTCTGCATCGTATCATGAGGCACAGGCAGGAGAGAGATACTGTAAATGGATGTACCCGAGTACTGGTCGTGGCCAGCATCCATCGTCGTGTTGCGGAGGACATGGCGGATGTTTTGAAAGTGGTCGAAGACGAGCACGAGGCTCTTGCTCGTCCCGATCGCGATGAACTTGGGGTGGATCGCGACCACGGTTGGACTCCCAGGACCGTTCTCGCGGAACTCGGCGTTCTTGGCGAGTTGCTTGGAGATGGTCTGCATCGGCTCGACCTTGACGACGCCGCTCCCGCCGGTCGACTGCTTCTGCTTGAGCTGCAGCGCGATCTTCATCTTGTCGAGCGTGTTGGTCTCTTTCCGCAGCTTGAGCGCCTGCTGGTGCACGCGCATGCGGCGCTTCACCGCGAGCGGGCTCACGAGCACCTCGGTCGGCGCCGCGAGGAAGGCGTCTTCAATCGCTTGCGCGACCTCGAGCGGCGACTTGGTCAACGCACCCACGGTCGATGGGCGGGGCTTGAGCATCGCGCGGTGCAAGAGCGGATTCTCGACCGACAAGCCCAAGCTCGAGGTGGCCGCCGGCGCCGGCGTCGACACCGATGGCCCATCGAGCTCTTCGTTGAGGATCTCCTCGAGCGTCAAGGCCGCTTGGATCTCGTTCAGGTCCAGGTCCACGAGGTCCTCGTTGTCGCTGTCTTCGGCGAGGAGCTTGTCGACTTCGCTGAGCTCCATCGTGGGCGGCTGCTGCTACTGACGCCTAGGGAGTTTACGATTGGGGCTAACGTCCCGCTAAGTCCGAACCCCACGCAAGATACTATGGGCTGAACGCACCCAACTTTGAGACTGAACGCACTCCACTTTACACTTCGATCTTCTGCATCCCTCCGTTCTCGCGGCTTCTCGCAGCGACCTCTATTTGCTATGTGAGAGCGCTTTTCAAATGCATGGGATCACGATGCTGCGTCTGCCGGGCTCGCTCTTGCTCTGACGTGACTCGGTGGCAAATGTGTAGCCGTACTTAATCGAGCCCGATTTCAGTCAGTTTGAATTCTCAACACTATTACACGCAATATGGATCGCACGGCGTAGAGCATGTTGAATAGTGTTGTGTGATGGCGTGGCAGCACGAGAGACAAGCGGGGGACCCAAGATGCCGCCGTCACAGCGCCGCAGATCGTCGTTGGTGCAAATGATCGCGATAGATAAGCTTGAATACAAGCAGAAAAAGCACAACGACGTCTCAGCCAATATACACACAGCAGACGCTTCGATCACGAGCGGACGTATCGGCGCCTGCTAATTTAGCACGCGGGCAAAGTCCTCGTCCTGATGGGTACGATGTGAAGGTTCTTCCGTTGCCTGACGGCCTGCTGCGAGCTGGTTGTGCGTTGCGGTGAAGCGACCTCCTAGGAATACGAGCGCAACTCGTCGAGGCTATATCGAGGGACTAGCTGCATCACCCAAACTATGTGCAAATCCGAGTCTTGGAGTAGCCGACGATCGACGATGCTAGCGATCATCTCGACGTACGTCTTGCATCATCACTGCCGTCCTTGCCAGCACGAGTAACACTGGTGCGCAGCTGCTGCATAGGGTTGTAAGATCATCACGCGACAGCGGCACTGCAGTCGCTTGTCGTTTGCTTGAATCACCCAATCGAGCAGGCAGACGCACTCGAGACTAAAGACATCTCCGCAAACAGGACACATCGATCTATCGTGCTCATATTGGGCGTTGGTGTACTTCCTAGAAGGGGACCGTCGGTCACGTCCTTCGTTCGGGGCACACGGCGGCGTATGTCCGTGGTGCCATACTATTATTGTCTCTATTTCTTGGTCGATTGTCGTACGCATCGCGCGTGGGTCGAGTCGAGCGGTTCCTAACTAAAGGTGTGCCGGCCCTTGGCTTGCACAATGTGGTGGCGGTGGCGCCGCGCCCGCAGCCGCCGGACGACGCGCTTGTACACGACGTAGGCCACGATCGGGAGCGCCAAAAGACCCGTGTTGGTGAGGCCAAAGGCCGACACGAACAAGTGCCGGTCGGCGCAGAGCCCGAGGCTGAACGCGACCACCTGCGCGGCCAAGAGGATCGCGACGCTCGCGATGAAGGCGGCGACGACGTGCAGAGAAAAGCCCGCGTCATCGGCGGCGGCGACGGCCTACGCAAGAAGATGAGCGCCGGCGCGTCATTGCAGAGAGGCCACCTTTGGCGAGCGACCCGGCATGCGTGTTGCTGCGTCAAGAAATCGGCGTGTGTTGCCTGCCCATCCGGATACGCACCGGTCCCATATTTGAAGCAGATGGCGCCGGTAATCAACCCGATTACCACAAGAAAGGCGCCACAACGTTATCACGCGCAGCGGTCACGCCGACGACCGTGGCAACGAGGCGTGCTGAGCTGGCTTGCTGTTGTTGCTTCGCTGCGGGGACAGAGGGCTGCCTTGTCACCGTGAAGGCGATCGATCCTAGCTGCAAGAAGGCAGCTGTGCATGCGAATGATTACCAAAGCGGGTCGCTTGGATAAACGATGGCGTGGTTCCCGTGCCGGAGCACGTCTTCTTGGTCAGCGACAGCGCGTCAAGTGCAGCACACGTGACGTGTCCCAGAGCACACTCGCGTTGAACGCACGCCACCGTCACTCGTCCTGTCGACGCTACAGGGACCGATGTTCACCAAACTCGGACACTGCACCCATGACGCTAGTAAACGGCTCGGGCCGTCCATGCAAATAGTCTATCGGCTCATCGAGATGTTTATCCAAGCAACCCGTTCGGGTCATCATTCGCACGCACCGCTGCGTTCTTGCAGCTCGGATCGCCTTCACGGTGACGGGAGATTCCAGTGCCATGAAAATGGCGCGAACCAGAAAAAAACGCCAGCTCTGGTTACGGGTCTATTTCGAGCCTTTTGTACATGCTATGATGGCGCGGGTGAGCCCGAGGACCGACGCGGCGGCGACCAGTCCGCTCACGACGCTCTTCGGCACGCCTTTTCTCGTACGCAAATGCTTCCATGTGCCAGCCTCCAACAAGTGATAGATCCAACACGCGACAGTGCTGCCCGAGCTGGACTCGACGGGCCCGACGCCCCGACGCCGTCTCGCATCGCACCCCAAAGTGACCTTCCAAAGCATTGGTACAGGAATGGCTTCTACGCATCATGCACCTTATTTCCGCAGGCCAGCTATCCGAGCAGCAGCAGCAGCTCGCCGCCATTGTCCAAGGGTCCATTGACGACCTCTGGAACGCATGCGTTGGCCCCACAGCAGCCTACGCGATCGACTTTGATATGTACACGCGTTTGCACGCGGTGGTGAGCCGCTTCTGCGGCGTCCCGTCGCCGTCGCACCTCGAAGACGAGTGGGTGTTGGACGCCCAGCAGCGCTCCATGATCAGCTTTGATCGTTTCTCAACCTTGCTTCGACAAGTGAGCCTCGTCCCACCTCTTGCTCGTCGTCATCCTGACACGGTATGTGATGTCCTAGATGGGCGAGGAATGGCGAGACAAGCTACACTTTTCCAGCGTACGCTTTGCATCATGATCCCATAGAGACGATGGACGTAGGCGGCGACATTCCTCTCGTCGCTCGTGCACGAAGTCGTCGACTGTGGTACAATTTAGTTTCACGCCACAAAAGGGTCAACTTACCTAGATGTCCGGTGCCTCAAGACGATCGACCAGGTGCATACGAGCTCGACAGCGACAACGTTTCGTACTCTCCTCGCGATGCGAGCGGCGGGCGGGTACTGGGACATGGACAGCAGCCTCGCTGCCGTCTTGAACCTCGACTTGAGCCAAGTACTGCTTGTTTTCTTTTCAGTGTAAAGATGAGGATCGAACCGTGCCGCTAGCCCAAGACGCGCTTCCAAACAACCGAGTTTGTGTTTGACCAGCTCAACGCACTGGGCGCCTCGGACGCCGAGTGGTACTTGCATAGATGCAAAGTGCAAACACGAGCATATAGCCGCGTGCTAGGACGACGCTGCGACCCGTGACGCTGACGTGGCTCATGCAGCACCACGCCGAGAAGCACCACAACGAGATCCAGGCGCTGATTCTGCGTCTCGATGTGCGCTTCGACGTCTCGCCGCTTATACAGCAGCGACTCGAGCCGCTCGACGACTGCGCGCGAGGCTTGACGCTCCACGCGCTGTTGCTCATGGACAACGATACACTTGTCCACACGATCGAGTGGCTGCGATCGCTCTCGAACGAGATTTGGCGCGTCTTTGCCAGTCCGTTGGGCCTCGCGGGCTTGAGCACGGCCGACCTCGTCGCCGCCTACTTTGTGCGACTCGCGCACTTTACGCTCAGCTCGTCCCTCTACCGCTTTCTCTCGACACTCGGGATCCTCGAAAAGCAGGTAGACGATGTTGATGTGCCGGAGCGACTACATGAATGCAACAGGAGCTGCTGCTCTTTCTGCACACACTGCGTCCCGCGCAGTACGAACTCTTTGTCGAGAGCATCCAGCAGCCTGCCAAAGGACGCGGCAACGGCGTCCGGAGCATGCTCGCGTTCTACTTGTCGCTCTCGCCCAACGCGCGCATGACCTTGCTGCAGGAGCTCCAGCAAATCCTCTCGCAACAGCAACAGTTCCCAACGAGCACAGTCCTAGCGAACGTCGCCTTGCCGGTACCAGAGCTGCAACCGCCGACGTCCACGTCCAAGACGGTGCTCGCTGCCACGTTGGCGGCCAAGCCGAATCTGCTCGTCAAGATGCCAGTGGTCGAGCGCAACCCATTGCCCCATGTATGGACGATGATTGTCCATACTGAATGTCGAGCTCACGGAACCAATTCTAGAAACGCAAGGTACGGCGGCCAGGGCTCCAGCCGCTCTCGACGCCCAAACACGCCGCGACCAAATCGACGGCGCATCGTCATCGCCATGACGCGCCCCTCTCTGTGCCCAAAGTGTCTGTCGCCGACTATACGTACGTGGACACGACGTCAGTTCTTGTGTAATACTATTGCATCAGGCAAAGCACGGCGTGGCAAAATGCCGTGGCACAGCCCAAGGTCGTGCTCATGAACGGCGGCGTGTACCGGCCGACGACGACGACGACGCGGAGCAAGCCCATCGACCCCGATCGGCACGAGCTCGAAGTCGCCTACTTTGTGACGCCCCACGTTACCGTTCAAGAGCTAGCGTTTCCATTTCCAGAGCACTGCAAGCCGCGGGGGAAGCCGCACGTGGCGCTCGACACGGTCGGCTTGAGCTCAACGTGGGTCCACCGCCCCGCGACTCGAAAAGAACACTCCTAACTTAGTAAACCTTGGCCAACTCGAATCTCAACTGCCGTCAAACACCACTCGTATGTCTTACTCCTGCATTCGATAGCACTCATTTCTTAATTTTGTGGCATCTTCCATGAAAATGGCTCGTGCGTCGGCTGCGACGTATGCAACCGTGTAGCGGGGCGAGGGTGATGAGGACGACGACCACATCGTACTGCTTCTGTCATCAGCGAGCGACGAGGTCCACGCGCAGGCGTCGAGCGAGGAGTAGAAGGCGACCAAGAGGCCATAACGACACGGATAATTACAACGCTTTGAGATTTATCTTTTAACACAAGTGAGTGATGTTTACGCGGTCGGGTTGGTCATCGAGACGACCCACTTTTGGTTGGCGTCGGTCTTGTCGCAGAGCTGGGCGACGACGTCCGCCGTCTTGGCCGAGCCCGAGAGGCAGAGTGCGAGCGACGTGCCGTGGTTGAACTGACCGGTGACGTCGTTGAACTGCCACTTCTGCGTCGCGCTGTTGGCGACGCACGCAGTCGCCTTGACAGGCATGTCGCGCGCATACGTGGCGAGGTCGAGGCACGTCTTCTCCTTGGTCGAGAGCGTTTGCGCGATCGGGTCGTAGAACCAGCTCGCCGACGTCTGGGCATTGGTCGAGACCGCCGCACCGGACGCCGAGAGCCACGCCTTGCCGCCGAGCTTGATCTGGATCGGCTCGGCACCGATCGGGCGCATTGTGATCTTCTGGTTCGGGCCGTTCCAGCACCACCACATCTGGACCTTCTGCTTGCCGTCGTCGTACGTCATGGACGGGTCCGAGTCCATGCAAAAGTTGGCGCCGTTCTGCGTCTTGACCGCGTTGTTTTCGATCTTCCACTTTTGGTTCTTGTTGGTAAAGTCGCAGTTCCACAAGTGCACGTTCTGCCAGTCGTTCGAGCCGTACGAGTCCAAGCACTGGTTGGCGCTCTTGGAGCGGAGCACGCTCGTCGTCGGGTCCCAGAACCAGATCTCGCTGTCGAGGCCTGCGCCGGTGGCCGGCGTGTCCATGCTCAGACGCGTGTACGTGCTCGTGAGGTACCCGTCGGCCTTGAGCACCTTGTTGCCCGCAAAGAGGCGGACCGCGATCGGCGCCTTGCCGACGTTGGCCTTGACGATCGGGTCCTTCATCTTGCGGTCGACGTCAAAGATGCCAAAGTTGCGCTCAATGATGTTGTCGCCAAAGCTGAGGTCGAACGACGCAAAGTAAAAGTAGTTCATCTGCATCTGCTCCGCGACCGTGAGGAAGTCACGCGTGAAGATGCGCTCGGCCTCCGGCGACGCCTCCTTGATGGCCGTGTTGTTGCCCGCCGAGCTCCAGCCCGTCTCGGACATGAGCACGGGCTTACCGGCGGCGCGGGCGAGAGCCTCGACCTTTTGCCAGTGCTGCCACATGGTGAACGCGCCGTTGGCCGGCTCGACGTTTTCCCACATCGAAAACTGGTTGACCGAGACGACGTCGACGGCGTTGTAGAGCTTCGGGTAGTTGTTGTAGATGTCCATGACGTCGGCGATCGTGACCGGAAAGTCCAGCTTGTTTTGGCGAAGGAACGTACGGGTCTGGTTGAGGTGGGCGATCATCGCGTCGACGCCGTTCGTGTTGGCCGTGTCGTTGACGCCGGCGCCGCCGTTGATGTAGTAGCGGAAGAGCGCCTCGCTCGAGACCTGGAGACCGACGACGTTCTGGTTGGTGATCGCGCCGCTCTTGACGAGGCTCTGGAGCACCTTGAAGTCTTCGTTGAACGAGTCGCGGACCTTGGGCGACGCGACCTCCGACCACGTGCCGATCCAGACCTTGAGACCAAGGTTCTTGGCCGACTTGAGAACGCGGTCCAGGCACGGCTGCTTCATCGAGTAGAGGCGCACGACGTTGGTGACAGTCTTGAGCGCAGTGAGGTCGGCGGTGATGACCGCCTGGTCCTTGCAGCCGCCCCATTCGCTCGTGCGCGTGTCGTAGTTCATGCCCCAGAGCGAGCGGTCGAGCGCGGCCGAAGACGCGAGGCAGAGGGCGAGGAGAGGCAGCGACGACGGGACCTTCATGATGATGTGGTGGCGGCGAGGCGAAAGCAGAACTGACGCTACGCCAGCAGCAGAAACGACTGCGATCACATGGGCAAATATCCACTTGGCCTCGCCGCAGTTGCGGTCCAGCCAATGGCATTGCGTTGTATCGAAACAAACGCACGCGATTGGCGCATTGGCGTGCGACGCACATGGTGATATTCCATCGCGCCAGTCGCGTTGAAGGCGCCAAGCGGCCGCGATTGGCAGGCGGCAGCGCTGTCGACGGGTTGTGTGGAGGAGCCGCCACCAAGATGCAAAGCGATTCGCACAGGACGCTGGTATCCATACCTGGTCCAAGAAGATGATCGAAGTGGCAATGCATCCGAAGCAGATCTGGGTGCTGGCTCAGCCACCGATCATCTCAAGTGGGTTTGGATACAGCTTCTGCCTGCTACGGCCCTTGTGCGCAGCGAAGACTCTTCGGGGGCATGGTACTAGTATGTACTACATTGCAGCGTAGAGCTCTCTGCCACCTAGCTGTGTGCCGTGGAGCCACAGTGATTCATAAAACCTTGGAGCGAATCTCGCTTGACGCAGCCACAGAATCCGACGACGACGCGCAGTTGCACCAACAAGAGCTGCTCCTGGCTACATGAGACGGCTACTACCTGGTTTGCTCCGAGCAAGACAACGCCTGGCGCCCTCACGAGCGTTTCGTTGGGCAGGATGGTGCAAACAAGAGTGAGGGATGCATCGCAGCACAGCAGTAGTAGCAGTTGGAGCCGCCTCGCGCGGCCTTCTGCCCACAACTTGCATGTAGGCGCCAACACGGTGTACTGCATCGCTGTGCAGTGCTAGCTGCCGTGATGCTACATGCAATCGCGCGCCTTCTCAAGGGCGCGCGAGGCCTGATCGCATGCCAGAGATCACACGCGAAAGAGCGTCGTCTGTATTACTATAGCGGGGCTTCTTGCTTTTAAAACACAACATCCGCGTCCGCCGCCGGCTCGAACGCAGCGAGGATATCGAGGTCCGACGGCGTAAAGACGGGGACGCCCGTCGCGACCTCGGCCGCAGCCTGCGCCTCGTTCTCGAGCTGCAACTCTTTCGCGGCCTGGATCTTGTTGGCCTGGACCTTCTTGATGCGCACAAAGTCTTCACGCTCCAACTCGTCGAGCTCGCGCGAGATGTAGTCGATGACCTTGTCGATGCGCGGAAGCGTCACGTTGTCGAGCGCGTTCACACGGCGGTTCGTGACCTTGAGCGCTTCGTCCAGCGTGACAAACGACGTCTGAAGCGACGCGAGCTTCACGAGCGCCTTGAGGAGGTGGCGGAACTTGTCGCGGCAGTTCTGGATCTTGCCGCCACCGCCAGAGAGACCAATGTTTTCGCTCTTCTCGCGCGCCGTCTCGACGTCCGTGAAGACGGGCAGCTTGACACCCGCCACGTTATCAATGCGGTTCTCGAGGCGGAACTCGGCCGTCGTCACCGACTCGATGACTTTGTGGCGGAAGTCGCCGGCCGCATACTGCGCCTGCGACAGCGAGAAGAACGCATCGGCGGCGTCTTGGGACATGGTCATTTTGGTCTACTCGCGAGATACAACAGGATGATGACCACGCCCTTGGCTAGTGGATCTCGCGAAGCATGGCCTGGAAGCGCATCTTCAAGGCGTCGGCCTTCTTCTTCAAGAGATCAAAGCCTACGACGGGTTAGGTCCTCCTGGCATGGATGGCGGGCGTCGTACCCTTCTTGGCCGCAACGCGCTTGGCCTTGTAGACCGTGAGGTTCCTAGAGAGCGAGCCCAGATGAGAACGATAGAGGAAGGATCAGCGCGGTCGCACATGCGCGTAGGGGGGACTTGGACCGTCGACATGCTTCCGTGGTCTCACGGCCTCTTGCCTCTGTCCCGATGCGAAAACTGGGCCGCAGTCAATCTGCCCCAGGTTTTCAACACTGTTTAAAACACAAAACAAGTCAGAACTTATTTCATGTATTAGTTCAGCAAATGAAAGAAACAATTTCCCATCTGGTACAAGCCGAGAGAGGGAAATCACTTCAACCATGGTGTTTCAAACAGTAGTTGGGTGTTTTTATTCCCCACCTACGCGATGGCGAAGATCGCGATAGGAAGAGGCGCAGACCGTCGCCCGGGCAGCGTCGCGACAGCATGGTCCATGCTGCTCGATGGAAGGTCCAGCATCATTCGCTACCGTATCTCTCATATTGTATCAAAGACGCGACTTGCAGCTTGCATTTGCAGCGTCCATGGCCGTGTGCCACCGCCGGCTCCATGGCCAAGCCTATTCGACGCCACCAAGCATGCCCACTGCCAAGCTTCTCGTTACCGTGCGCTAATGCAATGGCTTGTTTTCTGCTGCCAGCTTCCTCGGCGTCTTGGCCGGCCGCTCGACTGATGGCGACGGTGCCTTGGGACACGGCCACGACACGCGACGCCAGGTATCGTCTGTCGCGCCGAGACAAAGAGGCGGTCGATGGGGGTGCCATGGCATAAGTATATTTGTACAGACGCACCGCTGTGGTCCATCATTGGCTATGCTTTGTACTCGTCGCTATTGTCATAATACTGCTTGGGGTCGGACGCCAGCATGCGCAGTGGCTGGAGGCCATTCGACTTGACACTGCGCGGTAGCAGCATGACGTCTGTCTCACCATCGACATCCATCGTGAGTTGTGGAAGCTGTTTACATCGCACTGCGTCGCCATCTTTCCGACTCCGCTTGGCGTCGTCAACCTGCCGCACGGACGACGTTCGTCGTGATGACGACTCGTCCTTGCTAGTCTTGGACTCGCGCTTGATGTCGGACTTGGCCTCGCTTTTCGGCGCCGCTGTTTTCTTTTTCCGCGTGCTTCCACTGCTGCTGCTTCCTGCCAGTGTCTTGGGCGTCGACGGAGGTGCTTTCTCGTCCGACTTAATGGATTTGCTCGACCTGCTCGCACTGCTCTTCTTCTTGCTGGACGATACGACGGTCTCCCGCGGGGCGAGTGGCGTGTCGAACTCAATCTCAACGGGCAGCGATCCATACTCAGCTGCTCGCGTTCGTACATCCTTCTCGTCACGCAGGCGCTGGTTTTCTTTGGTTGTGTTGGACGACGTTGTCTTCTTCTTCTGCGGCTTTTTGGTGCTACTGATGCCATCTGGGCTGTCCTTGCGTGGCTTGGGTTCGTCGCAAAGGATACCGCTTGTGCTTTCGTCGAGCCGCAGAAGCGGCTTGGTCGGCGGTGGTGTCATGGCCTGGTTGCCCTCGCCGCCAAGCACGTCCTTCTCGAGGCCTTCAAAGTACGGGTGCGAGACGCACTCGGCCGCTGTCATGCGTTCATCCGGTCCCAGCTGCACCGTGCCTTTGAGAAAGGCCATGGCACGCTTTGGGACCTTGCCCATAAACCGCTTTTGCAGCGTATCGGGGCGAGTCATGTCGGGGAACTTCAAGCCCGCAAAGCGCGGGTTGGAGAGGAAGAGCTCCATGTGGTCGGGCGTGAGCGGCCCCAGCATCTTCTGGATCATGTACAGTTGGTCGATCTCCGACTCGCCGGGAAAGAGTGGCTGGCCGTCGAGGAGCTCGCCCATGATGCACCCGATGGCCCAAATGTCGACGCTCTTCCCATACTTGGTCGACCCGAGGAGGAGCTCGGGGGACCGGTACCAGCGTGTTGCGACATAGTCGGTGAGCTCCAACGAGTGCGAGTCGGCCACGAGCCGCGCAAAGCCAAAGTCGCAGAGCCGCAGCGAGTGGTCCGAGTTGACGAGGAGGTTCTCGGGCTTGATGTCGCGGTGCACAACGCCATTCTCGTGGCAGTAGGCGATCGCGCGGCTGAGCTGGTAGACGTAGCGCCGGACGAGCTCGTGGTCGAGGCCCGCGGGTCTCTCCTCCAGGACCTCGAGCAAGTTCTTCTCGACGTACTCGAACACGAGGTAGAGCTTGCCTTTTCTTCGGAATGCCTCCTTGAGGTTGACAATGTTGTCTTGCTTGAGCATCTTGAGCACTTTGACTTCGCGCAGCGTCGTTTTCCGCACCGTCTCGTCCTCTTCGCTCTCCTTGAACTTTTTGATGGCGACGATCTCGCCCGTCTCCTTGTTGCGGCATTTGAGCACGACGCCGTACGCGCCTTCGCCGACGATGCCGAGCACCTCGTACTTGTTCATGGAAACCGTTATCAGTGGTGGTTTTAACGCCAGGAGTTACTGCGTTCGCCAACTCGACGCGGCAGCAACACGACACACTTGCTGCATGCCACTTGCTGCATGCCAGTGTGTCTTTCCATATGCAAGTGGACGCTATGAGGACCATGCAACGCGGACTTTAGTAGGACGAACGTTTGTGTATCGCATGCGGAATTAGCTGTGTGCTACGTGATGTCGGGACTGCGGTGTATTGTCCAAATGACATTAACAATAATGTACTGCTCATGTGCGCTAAGACACCTCAGCGGCCTTAGGTCAAGGAGGCAAAGATAGGCTAACCAAGCGATCCATTCACACCATGTAATGGTGATGGCGGCGATAACGTCTACCCACACCCGTGTGTGGGAAACCACAAATATCGTCGTGCTCTCTTGAAGGGTCGCGTCAATGCACCTCGGCGTATTCGTACGTCATGGCGAAGCAGACACAGGGTGACAGCGATAGAGCCAAAGCCTTGATGCACTTGTATACCCACGATCAACACGAACAAAGTGACAAAATGCACAAAATGCGTGTTGACCACCGTTGTCGGCCTTGGGATTCCGTTCCGGCATCTGAGAAGTGCACGTTGAAGTCAGAAACGTGTGGATGGAGTGGCTTGCTGTGCTGCCGTGGCGACCATTGATTCGTTCTGGCGGCAACCTCCATGGTGCACGTAGGCATGGCGCACGACTACAAGATTGACACAGATGTCTAATGAACAACTCAAAGACTCTCGATGCGACCAGCGAAGGCGCTGCTTGCCAGTATCCACGTATGGACACGAGAAAAGGGCGCGAAATCAGGCACGTCCACTGACTGACCATCACTCCAAGCTTGGTCGCACTTTCGCACGGTATTTCCCACCGTGAAAAACACGGCCCATTCCAGCGAAGAGAAGGGCGACCCAAATAAAATGCACGCGATCCTACCGTTTATCTTATTTTTTGTATGTTGGATCGCAAATAAAACACGACGCAGCTGCAGCATATCATTTTCCCCGTCAATGACGCGTGTAGTTTATCACGTGAAGAAGTGTCGCGCACGCATCGCATACAAAAGCCAAGTCTATTGGAATGCACCCCACAACTGACTACTGTGGATGCAACTGGAGAAGGATAGAAAACCTCTGCCTTTTCGATATTCCGAAGGCACTGGCCGTTTCTATATAGCGAGAACCTCTCAGAACGCATGAACGCAGTGTCAATGGCCAACCTCAAACTCATAGTCAAAAGTCGGAAGGCGAAGACATCATCGGACGCAGCATGGGGGGAATCCTGCAGCGCATGCTCCAAGCCTTCTACACGAAGAAGCTCGAGGTCGTCCTCGTCGGCCTCGAGAACAGGTACGCATGCATGCGATGCGAAGTACGGAGTCTCACATGATGCTGTAGTGGCAAGACGACGCTGCTCAACGTCATGGCCATGGGCCACCCGGTCGAGACGTGTCCGACGATTGGCCTCAACGTCAAGCTCGTGAAGAAGGGCGGCGTGCAAATGAAATGCTGGGACATTGGCGGCCAAGCGCAGTACCGAAGCGAGTGGGGCCGGTACACCCGCGGCTGCGATGTCATTATTTACGTCGTCGACGCCAACGCGGTACGCCCATCCATGCGGAAGCTCGCAATGGCTCATGATGGCATGTAGTTTGACCAAATCTCGCTCGCGCGCAAGGAACTGCACCGCCTCTTGGAAGATCGCGAGCTGGCGACGACGCCGCTGCTCGTGCTCGCCAACAAGATTGACTTGGAGCCGCACATTTCCGAGCCCGAGCTCATTCGCGAGCTCAACCTCGACTACATTGTCGACAACCCGTGGCTCGCCATCCCGATCTCGGCGCTGCGCCTCGTAAATATCGACCAGGTCATCCAGTGGTTGATGAAGCAGTCAGGGAAGGGCTAAGTACTTATGGGAATGCACGATGACGTGGACCATCATGAATTAGCATCTCCTCTAGTTTTGCAAAAGACCATATAAAAAGACAACGAGATGCCCATATTGCATGTTGCATCGACTTCCTCCCTTCATGGCAGCTGTGAGCATGGGCTCCATCCGCCAGTTGCGAGCGATGGGCGATGGGCGAAGTGAGCCCAGCCCCCGAGACGCCGTCAGCCGCGCCCCTTCCTGCGATCGGACGAACGACCCTTCGCTATGGATCGCAGTCCGGATAAAATACCGGAGGATACGCGACCGTGCAAAGTTTCAAAAAAGCTTCCTCCATGGACGACTTCTTCCTCCGCCATGACGTGTACAAGGACCGCGACGTCGATGAGCTTGGCGGCAAGGTCAACTCAGACTCGGAAGCGAGGTACGCCATGACACATGCAAGGTCGAGGCAATAGGCTTGGATGTAGCGACGAGGAGCCGTCCCTGCCTGCTTCCGCCGCCGACCCGACGGGCCCATGGTCCCAAGCCAAGTATGCCCGCCAAGGCAAGCGCCGCACGTTCACGCCTGCGACGCACACGGGGCCAAAGGGCGTTTTGACCGACTACAGAGCGTACAAGCAAGCCAAGGCCGCCGAGCGCCGGCAGAACGAGGCGGTGCGCTCGGCCGTGATGAACCGGATCGCCAAGGGCCACACAGCGCCGATCACCGCCGCGAACAACCATCCGACAGGATTGAGCGACAACGACTCGGACGCCGACTTGAGTGACTTGAGCGACGATGAGATGATGAAGGAGTATTGCGCCAAGCGCATGCTCGAGATGACGAGGGCCGAGCGGGATGGGTACGGCCAAAATGCGTACAAGAACAATCGTGCTTGATACTGCAGTGTAGGCGGCCTGCCTTTGGGACCCTGCAGTACTCGGACCCGTTTGCCTTTGTCGATACCGTCGACGCTGCAGACGCCCGCGTGCACGTCATCGTGCACATGTGCGACGAGGTAAGAAACCAAGATGCAGCAGTCGCTTGGAGCGCTGATCGCATGCATGTGTAGCGCAACCAAGTGTGCGTCGCGATCAACCACTGCCTACAGCAGCTGTGCTTGGCATACGTGCACACGCAGTTTCTCGTGGTCGATGCCAAGCAGGCCGATGCGACCTTTGACGCGAGCGACTTGCCCATCTTCATGGTGTACAAGGGCGGCGTCCAGGTCGAGAGTCTCGTCCACGTCTTCAAGCAGCTCCAGGGCACCATCTCGACCGAGCGTCTCGCATCGCTTCTGTCGGCGTACCTCGAGTAGCAAGTACCATGTGCATAATAGGATGTGGTGTATTTTACGCTCAGACGCTAAAGTCACGGTCGGGGAAGAGCCGGGGCGCCACAAGCGTCCACACATACAGAAGCAGCACCATCCACTGGGACACGATCTGGACCCACATGTTGACCGCCCCTTGCTCTTGCCTAACACACAGAGAGGCGAACATCACGCGCACCATCCCACTATATAAAGCCTACCCATGCAACGAGCCCCATTGCGTGAGCACCATGGCCATGTACAGGCCACCAAAGAGCATGACGAGATGGAATTGCCAGCTCGGTGTGTCGGCGTTCGAGGCGTTGGCCGTCTTTCCAAGTCCGACTAGAGCAGCGTGAGACTTGGCCGCTGCAGAAACCAAGAAGTACCTCGTCTGTGCGGTGCATCTGCAGCGCCGACGACGCCGACGACGACGTCGACCAGCTACATTAGCACGTCAACCCTTGTGAAATCATAGGCTGAATACCTTGTCCACGTAATTGTGGCGGCACCGAGAAGCGCCGATGCGATCGTGTTGGCATGTGCGTGGGCTTCGACAAGCAAGAGCGGGTGCACTGTCCCAGAGGCGTGAGCTTCAATCGGTAGAAAGAGGTCGATGCGTTGGGGTTGGACGTGAGCGCCTGGTAGCAAAGGAAGACGGCGTAGGCGGCCACGATCGACGGCGGCATCAAGCCCGTGCCCGCCCACTCGGTGACTAAAATATTACCGCATCGTATGAGCTACCGTGCAAGGAGGACGAGATGATACATACTGCTAATGCCTGTCGCAATCAGTATTGACACGAGCGTGATCGTGGTAAACGTCGAGCCAATCGCGCAGTCGCCATAGTTCTGGTACTAGTGTACAAGCCACATGTGAGCGATGGAAGATACAATGGCGCCATGACCGACCATGAGGGCGATACCGGTGACCGCGCCACCGAGGCAGACAAGCACGATGGCCAAGTAGATGCTCTTCCAGATCCAGCTACGATTCGCTGGCGGGGATGCGGTGCCGAGGAGCGACGCGGTGGTTTCGGCGTCGGCTTCGGCCGCGTCGATGCGGTCAATGAGGTAGTCCCGGACATTGTCTATCCACCTGCATAAGGTGGGCAGCGCAGATGCATCTCCGTACACATAAAGTCGATGATGATGACGATCTGGAGGACGAGGAAGAAGACAGACGTGACACGCGCCAGCCACGCATAGCCCTCAAAGAACGCTACCGCAACGCTGAGACCATCGCCTAGAGACTTGCATCGTACCGCTTGGAATAAGAAACGAGATCACGACGAGCGCGCCGTAGCAAGGCAGCTGGAAGCACCAGAGGCAGCAGCAGTTGGCGTGCCCTCGCTCCGAGAGCGCGCTCACAAGGACCATCAAGGCGAAGAAGCAGCAGATGGCGAAGCTTGTCCTGCATTGCATTAGTCAAGATGATACCGAATGCGGGCGCGTACCGATACACGGCTTGGTTGCCAACGCAGTGCACGTCGGCGGGGTCGTCGCAGCCGTCGATAGCCCACACGTGCTTGAGGAAGCCTACGCGCAGGCGCATAAGCTCATGGGCGAGCCCTGGCGAGTGGGCCACCATCGCCGAAGGCCCGCAAGGCCGTCGCTAGAATCGCGTTCACGAAGAAGAGCGCAGTGTACGCGACCCGCGTCATCTTCGTCCTTTCTCGCCTTTGCCCAAATGGGACATCAAATTCAACTCCCAGGAATGTGTGTGCTGCCAGGTGGTGGGGTGTCACTCCCATAGTCTGTGTGCACGCAACTTGGCGCTTGCCACCGCCGTCTCCCACAGTAGGCAGTGCCGCGCGTCGACGGGCGACGCGCCACCCGTCAGCACCCGAATCTCAACCCCCATGGTTTAGCTCTGGGTTTAACCATGTACTTTTCAATGGCGGCCAAGTGGATAGATAGGCCAGGACACTGATCGGGCGGGAAATTTCACGGTGCAGTGGGATCGGTCTTGCGGCAGTGATAGCTGGAGCGTCAAGACCGCACGTTGGCAGAGCCAGGATGGCGATGGGTTCAGCCATCGAACGTCCGCGAGGGTGCGACCTTGTACTTTCGCAGGCGCTGGCACCGTAACCTTAGCTGACAGTTGCGTCTATTCAGTCGCGTGTCGGATTGGGCTGTGCCGTCTCTATCCGCCTCCCATTGGCCAATGGACGATTGCGCGTCAGCGAGCGCGAGGATTGGCTAAAACGCCTGCAGGAAACTGATTGGCCAAAATACGATCAAAATCGAAAGGATGGGCAAACGAACGCGCGAGCGCGAGGAGGCCGCGTTGCTGCCGATGGCCAAGCGGCTGCAGCAGTCGGCCGATGCGATCATTGTCAAGCCCAAGGCCGAGGAAGATGACCTCGAAGCGCAGATCAAGGCGCTGGAGGCTGACCTCGGCTCGAGCTCCGACGACGACTCGGAGAGCTCTGGCGACGAAGCGCCGGCCGCCGTCGTGAACTTGTCCGAGTACCAGAACGACACTGTCCCATCGCTCCCGGGCGAGCTCCTGCCCAAGGTTTCTTGCCAATCAAACAAGGTTGCCACGCACAAGAAGCCCAAGAAGGCGGTCGAGCCGGCGGCCAAGGTCAAGATCGTGGGCAAGGTTCCGTTCGCGTGCAAACCCTGCGGCTTCATCGGCGTTGACCTCGACGACTTCTTGGCGCATAAGAAGACGACTGCGCACCTCGAGGAGTGTGGCCAGGTCGGCTTCAAGTGCAAGCTCTGCGTCAAGGAGTTTACGAGCGCCGACCAGCTCGCCGAGCACAAGCTGGGCAAATGGCACCTCATGCGCGTGCGCACGAAGAAGGACAAGTTTGTCGTCCAGGGCCCGCGCGTCTGCTACGATTTTATGCGTGGCCAGTGCTCGTACGGGGACAAGTGCTCGTTCGAGCACAGCGCCAAGTCCAACGCGACGAAGGTCTGCAATCAGTTCCGAGCGGGCAGCTGCCGGTTTGGCGACAAGTGTATATTTGCACACACGAAAGAATAGAGCGTTGTTATTACATGCACGGGATGGCGTCCGGGACGCACTGGAGGAGCGCGTCGGCCTTGTTGCGGAGCGCAGTGACTCGCGCGACGTGGTCGTCGAGGACAACGAGCAAGTCTTCGAGGCCCGGAAGGTCCAGCCACACGCTTGTTTGACGCACAATCTCGATCGTTTGGCCGCGAAAGAGCCTACGCGCACGCGTCATGCCGCGAGTTGCAGCGGGCGAGTGTACGTGACTTGGCCGACAAACTCCTTTTTCGAGCTATTCGAGAGGAGCTCGTCCACGGGCTTGGACGATGGAGCGACGACGAACGCTTCGACCAGCTAGAGACAACAACATCATCATCTCAAGACGACAGGAATATTACCACGCGCGCCTGGTGCACGGAGAGGTCCACGAGGATGTCGCTTGGCAGCGGCGGGGAGAAGCACTACATATCCACGCGCGTGCTTAGTCTCGCCAGAAGCAAGCCATACGTACGTGGTCGAGCTGGGCGCTGTACGGAAACCGGCGCTTGCTCGGGAGGCGCACCGCCATGCCTGCTTGGCGCAACGCTTGGGCCAATAACGCCAAGGCCTACACAATGCCGTCAACGCGATCAACGACGAGACATGTACCTCGTGGGTGTAGTGCACGAGCAGCGCGACGTCGTCGATGCTGACCGTCTCGGGCCCGGTGTGTGCGACGTCCTTCTCGAGCACGCTCACAACGCGGGCGATCGCGCGGTACTGCATATGCAGTATACGGTGGAACTCGAGGAGCTGGTCCAAGACGCACGGCTGGTGCAGCCTACGCAAAGCGAGCTTGGACATCGTGGTCGTCGAAAGACAAGTGTACTTGGTGTTGACGAGGTATCCACGGCGCAAGTTGAGCTCAATGTCAGCCTCCAGGATCGACGCGCCCTGTGTAGCCACGTTCTTATGCGCACGGATATGGTCCGAGGGTCTACCTCGGTCTTGATGGTCGCCTTCATGGACTTGCCCGTCGCCTGCTCCTGGCCCTGCATGCGCATCCAGCGCGACTCGGCCTGGATGAGTGCTTCCTTCGTGCCCGTAAGCTCGTCCAGCACGTCCCGCCGCAGGAAGCTGGCCATGTCTCTCGCGACGGCCGCTTCCTCGACGTCCATGGCAACAATCTTTTTCCGGACGTTTTCCGGACAAATCGGTTGGACCAATCAGAGGCCGTGCCGATTCGCCCAAGATATGCAGGCGACGCAAGACTCGCGCTGCCCCGAGTGCCATGACGCGTGCCGCATCATTGCCCGCTTCTGCCCGTCGTGCGGCGCCAAGGTCGAGAGATGGATTCACTCTGCGTCTGATGCCTGGCGCGGTAGATGCCGAGCGCGATCTTGGCCAACAAACGCTTGGCTCCACGCATCGAGAAACTTCAGCCGCCGCCACCCAAGCTCATCAATGGCAAGAAAAAGCAATCGAAAAAGCGACCTATCGTGGCCTTGAACCCTCTACTGATTGCTGCGCCAGCTATCGAGCCTAACAACCAAAGCTCCGTGCTGGACCCGCCTGCCAAGCCAGCGAGAAAGGACGTCGTCGCCGCGGTGGCACGCGTTCCTGCCGCAATGCGAAGAGGCGTCAAGCATGACCGAGGAAAGTCCGAGCACCCCGTCGAAGGGTGGATGCGACGCCTTCAAGAGCTCTTGGCCAAGCTCAAGGTAGAGAACGGGCAATCATGGCAGCCCGTCATCGAGCACGCTAGTCGGTGGACCGTTCATCGTCGTCGTCTCCGTCCACGTCGCCAAAGGTACTCTATATACAGACAAAGCGCCTAGTAGATTGATATATTCATTTGTCAGTAGAAGGCGCTCTCAAGGGCACAAAAAACGCTGCTCGAGCACACGTGGGTGTCGCTGCACACGGAATTTGACGTGCATTTTCTCCACGAACCGACCCTGTACTACAATACTTGTTGTCGATCCCATGATCATTTCTCTAGCTCGCCCGATCTTCGCGCGGAATGCGCGCGGCTCTTGACGCATGCGCAGACAACGCTGAGCCGCCTCGCGATCAAAGAGCCCAAGGAAGAGGCGCCGGGTGTTGTCGTCGTCAAGGTCGACGGCGCGCTCATGCGGTTCAAGAGCCGATCGGTGCCTGTCAAGCCTAGTATATCCGTTGAGTCGGCTCTGGCGTCAACGGTGCCAATGCCGCTGCGGCCGACAACGATGAGCTCCGTCGCTGAGCCTGTGCAACCGCGACACACAATGTTTCTACGACGTGACCCGATGCACATGTACACAAGGGCATACGCTTTGCAGAGCGAAGCACGCGTTCTCGTGAGTCTGTACGAAAGCGACGCGACAACCAACGCGCTACGCGTGCGCATCTACGAGCCGCAACGCGCGACAGCCCAGGACCTCTTCCTCAGCGCCACCGACCTCCAGCGGCTTGCATCGCCACCACTCTATTTGAAGCGAGATGTACGTACCAGCGTTCGACCCGAGGCCGCGGCGAGGCGCACGATATGTTGTAGCTTCCAAGTGCCTCTGTTGTCGGTCTCGCCCATTGGTCCATGTGGTTTGACACGGTCCTTCGTCCCCGCCTGCGCGCCAGCGTGCGACGACCTCCGTGATGTCCCTACGAGAACTGAGATGTATTCTTAGGTTCGCCATCACTGGCACATTCGATTTCCTTGCGTCTACCGAGCGTCATCGGTGCTCTATTATAAAGGCGGCGACAGGCCGTTTCGGTGTCTCCTGGCCATGCACGTACTACGCTCGCTCTATATGGTGGATTCTTGGGTTGATATTTAGGGATAGGTGACCATCGAGTACCATCTCGAAGTTCGCGCGTTTGACGTTTGCGCCAACGTCCTCCACAAGACGATCGTGCCGGTGAGTCACTTGCAGACCGCATCATCGTCGACGTTCCCGTTAGATGTCCTGGTTAGTGATTCTTGATGCACTCGTGTGCAAGTATTGATGGACCTAGGAACCCTACAAGTGGCCATCGCTCTTTGAAGCGCTCGTGCGGCAGCTCTACATAGAGCACACCACCAACGGGTATGAGCTCGTCTTTGCGGGTCTTGCACCATGTGGGCGGGTCGTCGCCACGGCGGCGCCAATGCACACGGCGTGGGCTACGTTCCTCGACGACGAGCACAAGCGCTTGTCCCGATTGCGGGAGCAGTGCGCGCAGCTCGCGGCGTCGGTGGCTTTACGCCGGGCGACCCAGCGCGCTGAAAACGACATGAAGGCGCGCATCCGCCTCTTCCAATCGAACGTAGACACCTCATTTGTCCTGGATTTGCCCCGTAGTACCATGCTGCACCGTAGGTGTGCACGCGTATTCAACGCCATTGGCGGGGCTACCGCGGCCGCCGTCGCTTCCGAAACGTCCTGTACGACCGAGCGCTTACGCTTTGTGCGTGGGGCGCCGTGCCGGCAACGATGCTCTGCACGCAGCCTCCGTTCGACGTCTTTCGATGGTTCCAAGACCCGACGACGCTCGTCGTGCACGCGGTGCCAGTATCAACGTTGCCCAAGGCCTCGCTCCTTCTACAGCCGCGTCCATCGGCGCTATCGATTGCGTGCAGCACGCGCATGCGAACGCCGTACGACATGCATCGCTGGGTCGCATCGAAGGCGCTGCTCACGCTACGGCTCACGTGCGCCGCCGTCAAGATCCAGTCGCACTTCAAGCGACTCGTAGCCCAGCGCGTGTACAAGGACATTGTGACCGCCGTCGTTTTTTGCAGTACTGCGTGCGGGCCAAGGCGCGCCGCCGCCCGGCCTCGCTGCGCTGGGCGAGGCGCATCCGGGGCACACCGGTGCTCCTGCGCCTGCGCGTGCTCGACTCGGGCGATGGCCTCGTGTCCGTGTTCGTCCCATCAACAAGCCTGCTCGCTGAGCAAGTGGTGCCACAGGACAGGCTCGTACGTGGCGCCGCCTCGATCGCGAATGCCATCGACCTCTTCTACTCGGCGCAAAGCCGCGTCGTTACCTTCCGTGTGCTTCCGTAGCCGTTAGGTAACCGTGAAGCATCGCCAACCGTGCTGTATAAACCGGTCGCGATGCCGAATTTTACTATTTTCGGCGCCTCAACGTTCGACCACGTCTGCCTCGTCACGGATTACGTAATACAATCGTCGATGCAAGACAGGTCCTTGCACCATCACCATTTGCCGCCAGGTTGAAGATGCAGACAGACCAGGCGCTACTGACTGCGATGTGGCATCGGGGCTCGGCAACCCCTCGCTCCGTCGCCTCTGCCGATGCTGGCTGCGCCAACGTTGCGCATGTGGTCTGCAATCGATGCTGCCGGGTACTGCTCCCGCCGTGAACGCCCATGTAGAGCGCGACCCTGTCGATGGATCGACAGGCAACGCATACGCCGCGTCAAGGTCTCTTCATTGTCTACTTCGCCAAACGATACACCACCCACTGCATGCCGTGCAGCGCTCGCCCTACGAGCACTTGTGCGGTTGATACTAGCTAGAGCTACGTGCTGTCTTGCACATAAGCATCCTGCGGCGCAGAGCGACGATTGCGCCTCCAGCAGCCGGTGTCCTGCAATCGTATCGACACCGCCATGCAAAGTGTCCAAAGACAACGCCGACGCTTGGGCTCGGTGCAAGTTCACACGGGCAAACGGTGTATACAGGCCCTCGAGCATTGCCGGAGCCTCGCAAACGAGGCGCGCAAGTCGTTGGCTTGGCGCTGCAGGTCGCACTGCGTGGTCGTCGCGGTCGTCGCCTGCAAGTCGGTCGGTGTTTCGACGCTTCTTCAATGGCCGCAACCGCCGGCACGGGTCGTTGCAGCAAGAAAAGCCGTGGTTGGTGCTGCCGTGCACAGCTTGCCGCGCGCAGCCGTTGCCACGTCAGTTGCACCATCCGTTGCCGTCGGTTGCCCTTGTCCGTTGCAGCGTGCCTTGGTTCGACGGCTACTTGATCATCGTGGTCATCTTGGTCCTCTTGGTCCTCGCAGTCATCTTGGTCGCCTCGGTGTGCAAGCGCATGACGTCTGCGTCAACGGTCTTGGATGGCGAGTGGCGATCGAACGAGGAGACTTCCGTCGTCGCCGCCGGCGCGCGTGTCGCAGGCGCTGACGAAACACATCGTCTTTCCCCTCGCCGTTTTGGTAAAAAAATACACGCGTGTCCATACAAATAGCAAGCTTGCGCCAACGCGGCGTCAATAGCACCTGGCCACACATCTCGGTCCAATCAGGAGCGTGGAAAGCGTTGGTTACATGACTTTCGGCCAATCCCAATGCGTTTCTTCCCTTCACTAAAGTTGCGTGCTGGAGCCAAAATCAGTGGCCAGCAAAGTCGTCGGCTTGCGCTTGCGGTCGGAGCTCACTTCGCACTTTGCTCAAGACACAAGATGTTCACCCAGTACGCTAACTTGAAGCCGTTGGCCACGGCCGCCGACAAGAAGGAGTCGGGCGTCGTGTCCTTCCTCACGGATCTCGCGGCCGGTGGTGTCGCCGGCGGTATCTCCAAGACCGTCGTCGCCCCCATTGAGCGCGTCAAGCTCCTCCTCCAGGTCCAGGCTGCCTCGACGCAGATCAAGGACCCGTACACGGGCATCATCAACTGCTTCACGCGTGTCGCCAAGGAGCAGGGTGTGTCGTCGTTCTGGCGCGGTAACGCCGCCAACGTCATCCGGTACTTCCCGACGCAGGCGCTCAACTTCGCCTTCAAGGACAAGTACAAGAAGCTCTTCCTCGATGGCGTCAAGAAGGACCAGTTCTGGCGCTTCTTCATGGGCAACCTTGCCTCGGGTGGTGCCGCCGGCGCGACCTCGCTCCTCTTCGTGTACCCGCTCGACTTTGCCCGTACGCGCCTCGGTGCCGATGTCGGTGTCGGCAAGTCGCGCCAGTACAACGGCCTCGTCGACTGCATCACCAAGGTCTACAAGTCGGATGGCGCCAAGGGCCTCTACGGCGGCTTCGGTGTCTCGGTCGGCGGTATCATCGTCTACCGTGCTGCCTTCTTCGGCGGTTACGATACCTTCCGTGATATCCTCATCGCCGACCCCAAGAACGCCCCCATCTGGCAGAAGTGGGCGGTCGCCCAGGTCGTCACGACGTTCGCCGGTATCCTCTCGTACCCGTTCGACACGGTCCGCCGTCGCATGATGATGCAGGCTGGCCGCGCCGACATCATGTACACGTCGACGCTCCACTGCTGGGGCAAGATCATGAAGGATGAGGGCGCTGGTGCCTTCTTCAAGGGCGCTGGCTCGAACATCATCCGTGGTACGGGTGGTGCCCTTGTCCTCGTCATGTACGACGAATTCAAGGCCATGATGGGCTTCCAGGGCGGCTCGTCGTCGGAATAAATTATTCCTTTTGTGTTAGCAAATCGAAGATCTAGATTTGTGCGACTAGCTTAGCTATAATAGAACATGGCGGCCTTGCACACCTCATTTGGATTGCTTTTGAAGCTCTTTTGACAGACACATCGAGCACCCAAGAGAGTAGCGATGCACCCACAACCGACGTCTGCAGCTCGGACCACGCTCGCCCACGTGTTGGTGGGCGTTTGGGAATGTGCGCAAGAAGCTGGCCTGCCACGACATGCAGGAGCAAGGGGCGATCGCACGATCGTCCCTTGCCGTCAAGAACACGAGCTCTCTTTCCCTGGGTCTCTTCTGCGCAAGTATACAGGTAGATGACGTGAAGCGCCTGTAGCACCGTCGGTGTAGAATGCACGTCGTTGGTCCGAGGACAGTGCTCCGAGGACATGCTCCGAGGATGTGCCATCGTTATCGCAGATCGAACCTCGATCAGATGGCAGTGAAGTCGATGGCCATCGTCATGACGTGGCATGCCCACGTTGCTCGGATCGATGCGGGCCGTTCCGAGCTAGCATTTCAACTTGGTTCCGAGCCAGGATTTCAACTTGGTTCCGAGCCAGGATTTGTCGCCGAGTGTCTCGAGCCGACTCGTGAGGCCAAGGTCGTACGAGGTGGAGCGCGAACGTGGCGGCCTTTGTCCAAAGAATATCCTGTTGAACGGAAGCAATCCCTGCTGATGTCGTCGACTGATAGTCGGTCCTTGCGTGAACGCGATGTCGGATCACGTCATGGAGGAGGCAACAGACGGGCCACCTCGTTATTACCTCTTCACGCCAAACGCAAGCCGATATGACCGACCTGGACTCACTCTGGTTGTGGTGCAAAGCACTCGCGTTCTCTTTTTACGAACACGCGCTTCACGCTCCAATATGCTGCAGGCATGATCCATGCCCGTGGAGACGGATGTGACATCTTCATTCCAAGCCATCTGAAAGGTACCGCAGTGCCATGATTGTGATTGGCACCACCAACGTAGCTGGGCGTAATACACACATTTGTTGAACCCGTAAGAAGAGAGTGTCCGCGCCTGGACGCTCTTGGTGGTGCCGTTCTAGAGAAGGCCTTCCTCTATTCATATCAAACTCGCGTCGTCCCTGGATACCGAGCGTGCGCAGAGCCACCCATTCCTCTTGATTTTCCGTGCGAAATTGGTGTTGACGTCGAACTCGTTTGTGATCCGTTGCATTCCGACCCTGCTTGTGGACCTTTTGTGGACGCGGTGGATGGACCGCACGCGTCATTTTCCAATTGAACGCATGACGTCGACCGCTCCCCCCCAAGCCTCGTTCGCGACCGACCTCCTCGCGGGGGGGCTCGCGGGGGCCATTTCCCAGACCGTCGTCGCGCCCATTGAGCGCGTCAAGCTCCTCCTCCAGGTCCAAGCCACATCGACGCAGATCACGACACCGTACACGGGCATCCTGGACTGCCTAACGCGGCTCACCAAGGAGCAGGGCGTCGCGTCGCTCTGGCGCGGCAACGGCGCCAACGTCATCCGGTACTTCCCGACCCAAGCCTTCAACTTTGCACTCAAGGACAAGTACAAGGATTTCTTCCTTCGTGGCGTCCAGAAGGACCAGTTCTGGCCCTTCTTCGTCGGCAACCTCGCGGCCGGCGGCGCAGCGGGGGCGACGACCCTCGCCTTTGTGTACCCGCTCGACTTTGCCCGGACGCGCCTTGGCGCCGATGTTGGCGTCGGCAAGTCGCGCCTCTACACGGGCCTCGTCGACTGCCTCTCGAAAATCTACAAGTCGGACGGCGCCAAGGGCTTGTACCGCGGCTTCAGCGTCTCGGTTGGCGGCATCGTCGTCTACCGCGCGGCCTTCTTTGGCGGCTACGACACGTGTCGCGACGTGGTCGTGGGGCCGACGGCGCCGCTGTGGCAAAAGTGGATCGCCGCGCAAGTCGTTAGCACCGGCGCGGGCTTTGTGGCGTACCCGTTCGACACGGTGCGCCGGCGCATGATGATGCAGGCGGGCCGCACCGACGTTTTGTACACGTCGACGCTCCACTGCTGGGGCAAGATGCTCCAGGACGAAGGCGCGAGCGCGTTCTTTAAAGGCGCGGGCTCCAACGTCCTTCGAGGCACCGGGAGCGCGCTGCTTCTCGTGCTCTACGACGAGCTCAAGGTCCTCTTTGGCTTGTAACGCGGCGGCAAGAAGAGATGGTCCCGATCATTTTGAAGCAAGCAGAGTTCAAAGATTAAGATCTGCAATACACGTCAACGTCATCGAGCCCTCGTGTTGGCGCGCTGTGTACCGATGCCTTGCTAACGTAGCCGACCCAAGTCGCTCTCCAGAGTCGGTAGTTCATTTTCTAAAATCGCACAGACTGACATAAGCTGGCCGACGTCCATTAAACCACGCGTCTGGCACAGCGCGCCGATCCCGCGCATGTATGTCGTTCTTCACGTGCATCAACTCGAACAGCAAGTTGCAACCTTGGCGAGCGATGATTCCACTACCAAGCCAAGAGCTCGGAAAAGTGAGGTTGCGTCGACATATTAAGGGGACAAGCAGGGTTATAGGATGAGGACAAGACACTTGAAGTTCTTAGCTCCTAGAGATCTGCCTACGCCCCGCCACAATGCAAACCTAGCCCTCCCGTACTTAATGATGATAGGACTTTAACCTAGTCTCGTAAATTGAAGGAGACTTGCGTGTAGCGTAGAGTCAAGGGTCCCACAAAAGTTGTAGACCTTGTACTTGACATGGAAACGAGTTTTGCACCATAAGTAGTGCGGAAGTAGAATTCAGATATACTTGTAAGCGTACACAACGGTTTAGAGGTCCTTGGCTACTGGTGCTACCTGCTGCCCGCTTTCAACTGAAGAATCTTTCGACCATCAAGTTATCTGCGATGGTACCGCCTTTGCATCTCTCGATTGACTTTCGTGCCATACGTGGAGCACGACAAGTCACTGTTGATGTCGGTGTCCACGCGTGCCGCCGAGCAATTCAAGATTCGCTTTAGGCGAAGATGCGCAACATGGCAAGCCACTGTAAAGTGTTGGCCCGTACAACAGTCAATATGGACGTTTGTGTTGTACTCGATCACCGCAGCCGAGTAAAATAAGTTCTATCCAAGTGGTTTGCAAGGACGGCCACGGCCCAACTTCGACACTCGCGGCGTAAGACAATATTATGTACAGACTTGTAGAAACTATGACGAGTTGCATCGGTCTATGTACGTTTGCATTCCGGTCGCAAATTCGAGCTCGCCACACGCCCCGACCTGGATTGACGAGGCCAAATGCTTGTCAAAAGTAAACCTAACCCTAAAAATTGATACGCGACGGCGTGAAGGGTGCTTGCGGGCACGGCAACGTCGCAAAGTCACCAACCTCATGCTTGGTATGCATGCACACATGGGATTTGCTCAAAAAGTAGATCAGCAGTAGATATCAGAAACAGCTTGAAAGCGTGCAAGTGGGCTCGGAGGTCCATGCCTGCGGGTGCTACCTGATGCCGCGAGCTGCGACGCCGGTCATTTTGACCATTTCGTCGTTTGCGATGGCTGTGACTGCCTTTGCATCTCTCGATTGACTTCCATGCCATGCGTGGAGGCCCCTACGACGTGTCACTATTGACGTCGGTGTCCACGCATGCAGCCAAGCGCTAAAGATTCGCTTTATGCTAAGATAGCCAACGCGGTTGGCTGCTGCAGAGTGTCATACAAAAGTCAATGAGACAGCAGTGTTCAAGATCTCTACAAGAGAGCGGAACAAGAAGTCTAGAGCAATGTCGCTGGGGATCTGGACTTGCGCAGCGAGCGATTGAAAGCCATTTCCATGAAAATATCACCACCACCATTAGTGCCATTCAGATCAACACACACACTTTCCGTATCGCTATTTGCCGGATCTTCTCACGGTTGACACTCTTTAGTGAAGGTCTCCTCTCTTCAGTGAAGAGACCAAACCGTCGCGTGACGAGTCTTATAGCACGCAGCGGTCGTCACAACCCGATCCTTGTTGTCCATACCCCTATCCCTGGATATTTCCAATCAAATCGTGGTCATTGTCCGAGTTGAAGCTCCATTCTACATGATCTCTAGTCTCGTTATCTACGCAAAGATGCTCAACGGGTGGGCCTCCGTGTTGAAGATGTATTTGTCCAGCGGCACGAAGCTCTCGGGGCTCTGGAGGAGGTAGTGGTACTTGAGCGTCTCGGCCATGAAGAAACTCTCCATCTTGTCCTCGACCGTCACTTGCTCGAGGCTCTCGACATGCAGCACGGCGCCGTAGCCGTATGTGGTTTTGGCGTGCTTCTCGAGCGACTGGAAGATCTCCCAGCCCCACGCGCGGTACGTCTCGTCTTTCGTGATCCGGTACATGTACATGAGGCTCTCAACCGTCTCGGGCCGGAGCTTGTACTTGCCGTCGCGCACGAGAAAGCCCGGGAACGCGACGAGGTCCGGCGCGAGGCCCGTCGGCTGGCGGGCGTACATGGCATAGCATGTTGCCATGAGCTTCTTGGCCAGCTCGAGATGGCGCGCGACCTTGACCGCGTCCACTTCGCCAACGGTGCCGAGGGCGAGCATCCCCGGCACAAAGCAGAGGAGGTGGTCTTGCTCCGGTGTGCCCCGGAGAAGCGGAATGTCGAGCATGCGCAGGTAGTAGTACGTGGCCGTTGAGCCGTCGGCGTTGGTGGCCGTGCCTTGCGTGAGGAGGTGCTTCTCCATGCCGTCGACAGCGGCGTCGTACGCGCGGCGAAGAAAGCCGTCTTGCGCCATGTTCTTGCCGCTGTACAGAAAGACCTTGAGGAGGTACTCGTAGAACGAGTCGCCGAGCGCGCCGAGCGTAATGAACGAGTTGGTGGACGCAAAGGTGCCCGACACCGGGTCAAAGTGCACGGGGAAGAGCCCCGTGTCCTTGAACGACCCTTCACGCTGGATGATCTTGTAAAAGCCGTCGCCCTAACAGCGGTCACGCGCTTGACGGTATCTGCGATTAGTACCCGCAGCGCGTACTGGGGATCCCCCGTGAGGTCGGAGAGATAGCGCATCTCAAGCTGGAGCGTCCCGAGGTCGGCCAAGAGCCCACTATAGAAGAGACGATTGAGGCGAAGACGACAAAGAGGGATATTGTACCGGTACTGATTCCACGAATGCATGGACCGCGCCTTGGTGTGCGGGTTGAACTCGGTGTAAAAGACACCGCTGGCGTCGTCAAACGCTGGCGCGGTCAAGTCGGCAAACTCAATCGCGCGCTGCAGAAAGACCGGGTCGCGCGAGACCGTGTACGCGCCGAGGAGGCCGCCGAGCTCGCGGATCGTAACCTCAAAGATCGAGACGTCGCCGCCGTCGACGCCCAAGTGGGTAAAGTCCAGGTTGAACGCGACCCAGTCCCGCGCGTGGTGAAACTCGTCCTAGCAATACATCGCGTCTTGGGATTTGGCGGAACATGCGTACCATCATGCCCATGATGTACAGCGTGTCGAGCGCATCGACAAGCGTGACGCTAATGTCGCCCCAGACGTTTTGCCGCCGCACGCCCGAGACAGGCCCGACTTCGTCGGCGCCAAACGCATGCGTCTCGTAGCCGCTCCATGCGTGGCGCATCGCCGCCTCAATGGCCGCTCGACGCGTGCGCTGCGTCGGCGACAGCTGCGCTTCGTCGATAAAGTCGAGCCCGTGCGTCGTTTCGGCGGGCGACATGGGCGACGGCTCTCGGCGCTGGCCCCGCAGCCTCGCGTGGTGGTGGTGGTTCTTCGTGACGAGGAAGCCGAGCTGCGACACCTGCGCGAGCACGAGGAAGCAAGCGACGCCGAAAAACAGCGCAAGCCGCTTCCGCAAGATGGACGACGAGGTGGCCATGGTCGGCGGGCTCGGATAAGATCTCTTCGTGGTGGCCTGGTGGGTTTAATATTAGTATATTTGGAAGATTGAAATGCATGCAACATGATGCGAAAGACGAGAGATTGCAAGAAAATTTAAATCCGATTGAATGATTTTCCTGACAAAAATCGGTCCCCACGGCAACTTGCACGTGGGCCACCTGCAAGGTACACTGGACTGGTCACGGGTTTCGAAAAACGCTCGGCCGAGATTTGTGCACTTGGACGTGGCACCGAGCGCGGGGGCGTGAGGGATGCAGGTGAGGCCTGTCGATGCTTGGGCGCACGACGGTGCCGTACACTGCGTTGCGACTGCCGTAATCGGGCGGTGCCAGATGTCTTCATACGACTCCTCACTCGACGCGTAATCGTAGTGCCAGAGTGCCACGTACACTCAACGGCAAACTAAGATCTAAGCGAATATCGTACATGGAGGAGGACGTTTAGGATTCGCACTCTACTACTGTGGTACTAGTGGATGGACGGCGAGCTCGAGGACGGACGGCAAGTGCCCAGCGGCTTGCCATGGGGCAGACATCTTTGCCACCATGGCAGCCACACTAGTCTCGTTGTCCCCTGGCACGGACTTTCCGACCGCGCTCGTCGAACGGGACATTCCCTCGACGCCGTTCCCAGTTGCACACCGAACGATTGCGTCCAACGTGCGTCAAATTTCAAACGACTTGATAGAAAGTGCGACGACCATTGACTCGCATTTCTGTCGCACGATGACCAAAGAAATCTAGCGCCAACACAACGCACAGCGATTCGTATAATTCTGTCGCCTAATCTTCGCTTCGCTTCTGTTTTCGGTCCTTCTTGGCCTTCTTCCGCGCCGCGCGGTCGTCCTCGTCCTCGTCGTCGGCGGTCCGCTTCGACTTCTTCTCCTTCTTCTCCTTCTTCTCCTTCTTGGCGACCGGCGCCTCGGGCTCGGCCTCGACATCAGGCACAACCGTCGCCACCGTCTTGGCAACATGTGCGTTGTTGTGCTCGAACGGGCAGTTGTCACCGCGGGCGCACGCGCCGCCGTTCTGCCAGTTGTAGCACACGCTCTGGAAGCGCTTCTGGTACTCGGACTTGGCGTCCGCGACTGCCTGCGACTCGCCGGGGTGCGCAAACCGGCACGAGGTGCCGCCCTTGGCGCACTGGCCCTTGAGGAACTTCTGGCACACGGCGAGGCCGCCAATCATGGCCACGGGCGCGCGCACGGGCGTCGGCGGCGCACCGACGTGGCGGTACTTGCACTGCGCACCGCGCTTGCACTTGCCCTGCTGGTAGCTCTTGCAAATCGGCGTGTCGTCGTCAACGTCTTGCGGAGCTTCTTCGGCGACAGGCGCAACCACGGCAGGAACAGGTACGGCAACAGGGGCCGCAGCGGTGTCGTCGTCGTTCTCGTCCGGGAGGTCGCCGTCAATGTGGCGGAACTTGCACAAGTCCCCGCGCTTGCACTTGCCACGGCGGTAGCTCATACAAATAGGCGCGTCTTCTGGGGCGTTGTTGACAACGACAAAGGTTGGTGCGGGCGCCGCTGCCGGCGTCTCCGGTGTCTCGGCCGCCGCCGACTCGCCGACGATGTGACGGAAGTTGCACTTGTTGCCGCGGGTGCAGTTGCCGCGCTGAAAGCCCATGCAGACAGGCGCATCGTCTGGGACGTTGTTGATGCAGCGCGGACCGGCCTTGGACGCGGTCTTGATCACTGGGATGCCGCCCGTCATCGGGTCGTTGGCTTCGATATGGGCAAACTTGCATGCGTCACCGCGGTCGCACAAGCCCTGCTGGAACTTGTGGCAGATACCCTTCTTTAGCTTCTTCTGGAGGGCCTCCTTCATCTCCGAAACCTCGGGCGCGTCACGCGCGCCGTAGTCGACGCGCAGCGGACGGCCCATGACAACAGTGCCGTGGAGTGTGCGCACGGCCGTCTCGGCAGCTTCGCCTTCGTAGAACTGCACATAGCCAAAACCACGGAACTCCTTGGTCTTGATGTCCTCGGCGAACCGGATCGCCTTGATGTCGCCGCAGACGGCGCAGACCTTGCGCAGGATCTCTTCCGTGATCTCGTACGGCATGTTGCCGACGAAGATGGTCGTGCAGCCTTCGGGACGCGGCTCGATGACGCGGGGCGCCGGTGCCGGCGCCATCGGCGCGCCCGCGGCGCCGCCCTTGGGCGTCAAAAAGCGCACGTTCAGGACGCGGCTGTCCCATTTCTACAGTTCTTCATGAGATTCCAAGCAGTGAGCGAGCCGCGTCGCATACCTTCTTGTCCATTTCACGCACGGCGTCGAGTGCGCTCTCGTACGAGCAGTACGTGACGAAGCCAAACCCCTTGGAGCGCTGCGTCTTGTTGTCGTAGACGACCTTGGCCTGGAACATCTCGCCAAAGCTCTCAAACTTGGACGCGAGCGCCTTGTCATCGGCGTCAAGCGGCAGGCCGGCGACGAAGATCTTGTTGCGGTCACGCCACAGCGCCTTCTCGTCCAGCGACTCCTCCATCGCGGCAACAAGCAGAAATACATTGGCTCAGGTTGCTTTCCACTCAATCCGCCGCGTTTGATTGGTCGACAGCTTCACGTTATGACCAATGCATGGCGGCCATTTCCCGGTGTTTTTCCGGTGGCAGAGCAGAATGTAGGTCATGTATCTTGCAGACAGCGCCGAGCGTCCATCCTACCTGGCCGCTACAAGGCATCTACATGTATGCCAAGAGGTGTCTCGTTGCCTTGGACACCACAATGTACCTTGGGCTCATCTACTATATTGCGTAGTGTGGCAAACCTCATACGAAAAGTCTGTGCGGTAGCAACCAGGTCGGCGGTAGTGGGCGGCAAAGCATCGGTTCCTTCTACCTCTGCCCGTGTTTCTCGAGGCCTCCACACCGCTCTCTCCTTGGTCATGAGAGCCTGTACCTGCGCTGAGGCTCGAGCGAGGACGACAGGCCACTGCAGTGCGGACTACTGGGACGTTCGTTCTCAAGCGAAGGCGGCAGCGCCTGTCGCCTCTGTGCCTGCACGCGACTTTGAGCGACTCAGTCACCTCGCTCCACGTCGACGTCTCTTCATAGCAACTTGTCAACCTGCAGTCTGTCCGTAACGTAGAAAATGGTATCTCGCCACGTTACTGACCTTTCCGCCGCCTCCAAAACAAAGAATACTCTGACGCGATCCCCCCGAAAGTCTCGACTGATGTCCTGAGGACATCCGGTGTAATCAGTGGGCAGATCGGCACAGCGTCCGTTGCTTGCAATGCGAGACGGAAGCCAATCTTACGGACGAGATGGCGAACGTTCGCGCCGAGATAGCCGCAAAGCGATCACGGTGTCCACTTGAGATTTCCCGGAGTATGAGCGAAGCCGAAGAGATCTGCGGTGGTATTGCCTGCGCCGCATTCTGCGGTATCTGCTGCGTTGCGGCCGCCGAAGAAGACAAGCGCGAGCGGGAAGCTTCGTTCGCTCAGAAGAACCAGGCGCCCGTCGGCCCCATCACGCCCGTTGCCGTCACGACACTGCCACCAAGTACACTCGGCAAGGCGACGCTGCTGCCGATTGAAGCCACCGGCAAAAAGACGCCGACCAAGAAGAAGAAGAAGACGGGAACCACCGAGACCAAGCCTCGGTACGTGTAGATGTAGAGACTTAGCGGTGACGCCGAAGCCGGGACACACTGCCTGGTGTCGTATCTAACAGGCAACATTCGATGCGACTGTCGTTGCAACAATAAGAACGTACCCATGGACGACGCTTGGCTCGTGAATTGGCTCTGGGAGATGCCCTCTACCACGCGTGTTTACCGGAGCATACGGAAAATGCAGAGCCACATACCTGTGCCGCCCATGACGTTGAGCTCGTAGAACTTCTTGAGCGACTACGAAGTGCTTCTGGGTGATGCAAGATGGGAGCCATGGGAGCGCTACCTTGGTCATAAACTGCCGCACGGAATTGATCTCCATGGCGGCAACGTTGTTGAGCTGGACTGCGTGGGCACTGCCGCCCGTCTGCACGTCCTTGGCAAGCACGCAGAGACCGTTCCGGATCTTCTCTTGGCGCGTGTGCTGGATGTCCTCGAGGATTAGCCGCATCTTCTCGGCCTGCTCCATGTCATCGGGTGCGCTAGTGACCATGAGCTCGACGCTGCTGCGTTCTTCATGTACGTACTTCTTCAGGAGCAGCGTGGCCATCTCGAGGTAGTGGAACGGCAGCGATTCAAAGGCCTCGCTCGTGTTCTCGCCCTCCAAGCGCTCCATCAAGTGCTCTATGTGCGATGATCGCATGGGCTGCTACGCAGCGATCGCTCTACCGACGGTGAACCAGGACGGCTGGAGGATCCGACACTTGTTTAGCTGCTTGAGCTTGATCGCGAGCCAAAGAGGAACGGGCGTCGCCATCGACGGGTGGAACGGCCCATAGTCGCCCTAAAGCAGCATCGATCATGTTGGATCATGAAGCGAAGCGTCGCCGTACGCCGATGCCATGGAGCAGGCCGCCATTCTCTTTGAGCTCGAAGAAGGGCATGACCGAGATGAGCTCTTGCTCCGCCTACGCGTCCATGATGCATCTCTATGCTTGTCATCTTCGCACCAGGAACTCCATCTCGCTGCTGCGCATGCGGAACATCGCTGGCCCGACCTTCAATGGACGTCCGGATATGCCCAGAATTCCTACCCGCCCTTTCCGTAATTCGTGGCTAGTCACACGCAACAACGACCGCATGACAGCACGACAAACGCCTGTCCAGCCGACGAGCCGAGGAATCCGAGCTCACTGGTCACGACGTCGCATGGCACGGTAGAGCTCATCGCATTGAATCTTGCTACTAGTGTTATGGTCGTGCACGTAGGAGTCTCGGCTGCACGGCTGCACTGCTGCTGCTGCACTCGATCCAGGCAGCCCGTCCAGCCTGCCAGATCATTCTACCTGGTACTGCACGCGTAGTACGAGCTCGCCTCAGCACCAGTCGTTGGACAGAGACTGGAGCAGCTAATACCCGTGCGCGCGACACACTGGAGCTACTCGGCCGACCAGGCGTTGCTTGCTGTGACGCACATGGCGACACAGACACGGTGGGCCGACGCGTGCGCTGGGCGCAGACGGCAGAGGCATGCGCTGCACGTCCCGGCGACGAAGCTACGACGGTGGTGGCCGGCCACGGGCATCGTCATCACGACATGGCGATGACGCAGCTCTGTCCTCCAGAGGTTTTGAGGGTACGACGACGAGGATATATACGTTACTACAAGACGGTCGTGTTGGTCTCGGGGCCCATGAGCTCGATCACGTTGCCCTCGGGGTCATAAATAGAGAGGCTCCACGCGTGGCCGTCGTAGCGCGCGCCATAGTCGCCGACGCGGACGCCGGCATGGATAAGGTCTCGCCGAACATGCGCCGCGTCAAACGAGTCGACTTGGAGGCAGAGGTGGTCGGGCGTCCGTGGTTCTTTGGCCTTGGCGCGGCCGAGTGTGCCTTCGGCGAGCACGAAGTCGAGGAGGTTCCGGCCCGCGCGCAGCTGGTAGAGGCCAATGTCTTCCTGGACGCGCTCGATCGGACAGCCGAGTATGTCCATGTAGAAGCGCAGCATCTCGGCGAGCTGGATCGTCCGCACGCGGAGCACGACGTGGCCGACGCCTCGGACGCGGATCATGTTTCTTGGTGGCGAAATAGAAAATGGCCCGCAGCTGGCGTCTTGCACCGTTCCGAGCTTGCACCGTAGCACACGCACGCTGGCATCTCGAAGCGCCGACGGAGCTCTGCGGAGCCATACGACGACGACGTCAGCGACATGGCGCCAACGAGCCAACGCTCTTACTCTCATGCGGTAGCGAGGCTGCATGTCCATGGTGGCGGCGCCTTGGTCACGCGGCCACGCGCAGGACATGCTACTCCTACTAGTACGCCACTTGACTTGGTTATCGTGACCACCAGATGGCGACCGACGACAAACCGATCGCGTTCAAGTAAACACGCAGCGCGACAAGCCAGCACGCGCTGACGCACGTTCGACACCACATGGATGATGATGACACTGGTTGTGCACAGCATCTCGAAGGAACGTTGCCGCGACTGCCAAGCGTGATGCCTGTCAACGCACACGAATATGACACATCGTGCCAGAAGAGACAGACGACTTGGCATCGCGCAAGGAGGAATGATTTGGGAAGAAGCAGGATTCCATGTGACCAGCTAGGGAAGGCCGCCGTTGTGAGCTTGAAGTAGGGAGCCGGTTGGCGCGGTTTCTCCCTTGGAGCTCGCTTTTCCCTCCAGCTCGCTTTTCCCAAAAGCGCTCTCGTCCCATTAATCGACGCACAGCGTAGTTGACCAAGTGAACACCATGCAAGACGCCCACGCTTCGATCACTGCGCTCTCCAATGCGACCGTTTTGGCGGTGGATACCCCGGGTCTTCATGCGTGGTTGACGATGGAGGAGCTCGTCACCAAATACCAGGCGCGGAGTCTGTATGTGCGCGCGATGGCACTCAAGCGTACCGCGTGCCACAAGGCGGTGCGGTTGATCTTTCCATCCAAAACCGGTCCAGCACTGGCCGCCGAGGCGCAGTACACGGCCAAGCAAGACGACATCCAGAACGTGCTCGCAGCGCTGCGATCGATCTTGGCCAAAGTCCGAGGGATCACCTCGCTGCTCTACGGTACACGCGCGTCTCGGACTGAGAGAAATGTGGGGAATAATCGTCGTCCGTAGGCATGGCCGAACTCTGGCGCGACATCAAGCGCACCGAGGTGAGCGCCCTCTTTGAAGACGCCCGCATGGACATCGTCGTCGCGGCAACATCCATGGAAACCGAGTTCATCGCTTGCAGCGTACGTTGATGGTACTACTACCAGGTGCGACCACGCCCACGATAGGCACGGCTCCACGCCAATGTCGTCCAACCGCTTGAAAACAAAGTGCGGAAGCTCGAAGAAGTCGAGGTGCGCGCAAGAGATGCTGCACCCTGCCTGCACACATGAGAACTAGGTCTTTATGGCCGTGCGAGACCAGATCAAGGTCGCCCTCGACTCGGCCCAGCGCAAGGTACTTCTTGGCAACGACGAATACCTAACCCCAACTGGCGACCATTAGCTCAACAAAGCCAAAACCAAGGCCACGATCCAGCTCATCCAAGAGCGAACACTCGAGGTGCGCCCAACGAGCTGCCATCGTATGCACAATGGCTTGTAGCACAAGCAGGCCAAGGACGACCTTTTGGCGACAACTCAGTCCCTGCACACGATCTTCACGTGGCTCGATGCGATGCGAAGCCAGCTCACAAAGACCGAAGTCGACGACGTACTTTCTTATCCCTCTCTCGTCTCAACAAACTAACTCTTCGTGCATTAGCTCCTGCGCGCAATGGAACACCTCTTTGTGCAGAGTGCGGGTGCGTGGCGCTGGTCGCCGCAGACGCCGCCCTAGTTATATAAAACACAAACACCCACCAATGTCAAGACCCACGAAGCTTTACAACCTGATGTCTATACAAGTGCGTGGGTGTCTATGGTTGGCAACGTTGTCGTCGCTGTCGTCGTCGTTGTCGTCGTCGTCGTTGTCGTTGTTGTTGCCACGGGCGCAACGACTTCGTCCATTTTGGAACTCGGCGGCGACGGTTTGGCGCCGGGCGGTGGCTCTGGTTTCATGGCCGCGTCTACTGCAGCGCCCGCGTCCTTGCTGCTCCCACTCGTGTCCAGATACGATTTCGCCGCGTCTTTGGACGGGCTCGCATCTTCCTCCTCGATCGTTGCCGGCGTATGAAAGGTCATACGGTTCATGAGCTTTTGCACCATCGCGAGCTCGGTTTGCTTGGACTTTTGGATACTGCCGTGGCGCGTCACTCGCTTCGCCTTGGCTTCCTTGCGCGCGCCGCCGCTGAAGCTGAACGGCATCATGTTTTTCGCGCGCGTTGCAATCGAGAGTGCACCGACGCGCGCCGTCTCGCTCGGCTTGCCATTCTCGTCGTACGCGCCCGGAAGAATCGGGGCCAAGACCGCGCCGAGCGAAATCGTGGCGCGCGTCCGCGGCTTTGGCGCCGCCTCTTTGGTTTCTGTCGGCGGGACGGGCACGACGCCGGATCCATTGGTGACGGACGTCGCCGCCTCGACAAGGTTGCGTCCCGATCGAAGCGACACTGGTGGCTTGAACGGCGCACTGCTGCTCGGCTCACTCGTCGTCGTCGGTGGCTTGGCGTCGACGGTCGCCGCAGGCACCACCGTGCTCTCTTTCCCAGCGGAATCCTCGATCGTCGGCAAGACAGGCTTGACAGGCTTGGGTTTCGTGACGGCCATTTGCGCGTCTTCGAGAGCTGCACGGTCCGAGCTCCGGTTGTAGGCCGAGTACCGCCGCCGCTTGGCCGTGCGCTCGACGGGCCGCGTGAGCTTCCTACGCGCAGAGGTTCGATGTGATTAGAATACCAGAGGACGCTGATGGTACAGAGCAATGAGGTAGTAGCTCGCGCTGAGACTGTTGTATGCTTGTGTCGCGACCGACTGTGTCACGGCCTCCTTGTCCATACCAAGCTCCTCGAGCTTGATGAGCGCCATCTTGTTGATGTTGGCCGCTCCGACCGGCACGAGCGGCTACGCACGTTGTTGTTTGTTGAGGGAGCGGCGAGGCACGGAGACTACCTTGGGCATCTGTGCTTCAACGGATTTGCACCACGCGTGGTCGCGAATGTCGTCGAGGCTAAAGCGCTTGACCGGGTCCGTTTCCAGAATTTTGCGAATCAAATCTTGGACGAGCTAGTAATTGTGCGTGCGTGAGAGAAAGGAGGCTTGGGAGAGCGTACGGAGGAGATGTAGTTGGGCGTCTTGTACTGTCCCGAGAGGATCTTCTTGTATAGAATGCTCGTGTTGTTGTCTTCAAACGGCAAAAAGCCACACACCATCGCAAACAGGATGACGCCGAGACTCCAAATGTCTGCTTTCGGGCCCACGTACTACGTAGCAGGATTCGACGATTGAAAAACCAACGACCGTCGACCAACCATTTTGCCCTCGATCATCTCGGGCGCGGCGTAGCACGGAGACCCACACGCGGTGCGCAGCAGTCGGTTCTGCTCGTGCGTGTTGCTCAGACCAAAGTCGACGATTTTGACAATCAAGCCCGACGGGTGTGCGTGCAGCAAGAGGTTTTCGGGCTTGAGGTCCCTGCATCCCATGCATCCATGATGATGATCTCGAAACACCAGAAAACGAGTCGACGCACCGATGCGTGACGTCGTTGCGGTGGAGGTAGTCGAGGCCGTCGACGATCTGCAGAAACATGCGCACCGCGTCCTTCTCTCGGATGCGGTGGTTCTTGACGATGTGCTCAAACATCTCTCCGCCGTCAATGTACTCCATGATCAAGTAGATGCTCTGGGCCGTGTCAATCACTTGGTAGAGCTACTCGACCATAATGAATCTCGATCCAATCCTATTCGCTGCACCTGGATGACGTTGGTGTGGTAGTTGCGCTTGAGGATCTTGATCTCGCGCGCGACACGCTCGGCGTCCGCCACTTCGAGAATCCGGCATTTCTCGAGGATTTTGATGGCCACTTTCTCGCCCGTCGGGAGGTGCATGCCGGCCTTGACCTTGCCAAACGTTCCTACGCATACATCGTCCAGTGTCTGCTTGGCTGCGATAGAATCGAGTACCGCGGCCGATGGTTTTGCCGAGGACGTAGTCGCCGACGACTTGGCTCTCGTCCGCCGAGTCGCTGTCCATGCCTCCGAGGCACTGCCCGCGAGGTGTTTTACAAATGATAGCAGTCCGAGATTAGCGCGCCAATGGACGTGGCTGCTCGTAAAATTAGCGCGTTCAGACCTTCAGTTACAACGCATCGGAGCGTGGATCGCGCAACTCCTTAGTCTCGAGACGTCCGATGACGTGTGTGCAGTCCGCCACCAGTAGTAGAGGAGGAGATGGCGAGACTCACGCCGACCACATCTGCGTACTATTACATTGCACACGTCGGTATCACTGTGGCGAGCTATCGGATCGCGGTGCGGACGAGGCCATAAAAGACATGCGGGGTCAAGCGCTTGGACGCGTAGCGCCAGCCGACAAACTCGTCGCACGTGCCACAGTACATGCACTGCCACGAGTAGCCTCGAAACCACGTGTCGCGCGTCGTCGGTCGCCCGACGCACACCACTTGGTCGCTCTCAACGCTGTACAAGGTCAGAATCTGGTGCACGTGGCCGCCCGGATTGACAAACGTGCCCGCCTGTGCAGCCGTCGTGTCGCTCGTCGTTCCAATAGCATATGGAAGCCTACCCGCTGGGTGTTGAAGATGTCGGTGGACTTGCCCAGAAGGGTCTGGCATGTCCGGCACGCAATGCCGCTCGAGGTGTGGTCCTGGAGCCACGTCAAGAGCTCGTGGAGCCGGCGCACGGTGCAGTCGACCTGCAGAAGCGCGCGCCGTTCGTCGACACTGAGATGCACGTGCGCAGCGAGCCAGTACGAAAACTGCGTTGGGTCGGTGGGCGCAGCCGCTGCGTCGTCGACGACCACCGCGTTCACGCCGCGCCACGCGACCGACGTCGCAAGCATCGCCGTGGCCTTGCGCACGAGCACGTGGCCGTCAAAGAGGTTGTACTCGGACGGACGCCAGTAGCCAAAAGCGAACCGCTTCCTACGAACGATGTGCCATCGATGCGCGCGATACAAGTCGTACTGGGCAAATGGTGGTCGCAGGGCGTGGAAATCGGGCCGCACGCGCACCGAGGCCGCGAGCGTCGCGTAGTCGTCGCTTCCGTGCGCAATGCGGCAGAGCTCGAAACGCTGGCAGCCGCGCCCGACGATCGAGAGGTGGACGTCGTTCTGCTCGTAGATGCGCTCGATCTGGATGATGGTCCCAACCTGTCCTATCGGCTGGTACCCATGTGAGATAGGCTGCCTGTGTATGATTCGTAATACGTCTTGGAGGGTGCTAATGACGGCGAACGTGTCAAACTCTTGCCGCAGCCGCGTCCGCAGCGTAATGAGCTGGATCGTTGCCGACGAGAGCATGCGCAATGGCAAGGTCTCGCCGGGGAACATCACCTACGCGAGCGAGGATACGAGAAACACGATACAAAGTGATGCGTACAATGTCGGGCAGCACGACGAGCGGCAGGTCCACAACCGAGCCGGGCTCGTAGTAGGCGGAGTGTGGCCGCTCGATGCCCACGTCGTCGCCGAGGTAGGCGTGGTCGTGCAGGACCGCGTCGTCTACCTCGCTAGTCTGCGACATGGAGGCGATGCTGCTAGCGCCATCGTCGTCGGCCATGGACGAGTCGTCGCTTCGGGCGCTCACGTACGCGTCGCTGAGCTCGTCGTCGTCCGGACTGCGATCGCTCATGACCAAATCCATTGCCACGCTGGATTATGCACCAATCCACGCGCCGCAGGACAATATCCTGTCTGGGATTGGTCCATTTTTCAGCAAATCCTCGTCCGGTTTTTATATTTGGCATATGCCGCGCGTTGCAGTACCACATGTGGCCTTTCGGAGCGCTCGCACTGCCAGATCGAGATCGAGTACAAGCCATGGTGCTGCATGCAATGTAAAGAATCTCTTGTTGGTGTTCCAGCTTGCACCGAGCAGTGTGCGTGCAATGTTGCTCATGCGCCTGGCTTGGACGTGGCCTACTGGTCGACTTTATTTTCGGCGCCTGAATAAGATTCGGCATAACATATTCATTTTAGGATGCTTGCAGCGCAACGAGTCCTTCGGCGAAGCTCGCCCAGCGTACACGCGCTGTCGCCGATCTCGCTGCGACGGGACGACGACCATGTACGTGGCTTTCGCAGCACGGCGCCCGTCGAGCGCCATCCGATCATGATTGGGCTCGTGGGCGCGAGCTTGGCGCTCACAGCCCACTACACGCTGCGCGCCCACCGCCGCCTCCAAGCGGAGAAGGAAGCCCAGCCTTTTGAACGCGCGTCGATGCTTTTAGGCCTGGACATGGGCCTGAGCAGCACGCGCCTCGCTGGCCTGGACACCAAGGGTACACACGACGACACGATCGTCGCCGAGCCCTCGGCCGTCCAAGTCCGCAGCGGCGAGGTCATCGTTGGCGCGCTCGCCGTCAAGAACGCGGTGCCTCGCCTCCGGGACGAGCTTCTCCACCGACGGCCGCTGACCCAGCTGGGCGTCGATGCGAGCGAGACCGACCCCGCGTTCACCATCGATGCGGTGCTCACGACGCTCGTGCGCCGGCTCCACGAAGGCGTCGCGAACGCCCTTGAGAAGGACGAAGCAAGCGTGCCGTGCGTCGTGGCCTTGCCCCCGAGCTTCGGGGACGCCGAGAAGGACCGTCTTCGCGCGATTCTCCAAGCGGCCAACATGCACGTGCTCGGGTACGTGCGGGAGCCGATTGCGGCGGTCTTTGCCGCATCCGACTGGGACGACACTCTGCGCAACGTGGCGGTGGTCGACATGGGCGGTGTCGAGACGCAGTGCTCGATCCTCGACTGCACCGACCCGACGGCGCCGGTCATTCTTGCCTCCAGGTGCAATAGATTCTCGATCCAGCAAGTGCGACTCTGATGGAATGACTAGGGCGACAGAAGGCATGAGCGGAGCGACGCTGGACGCTGCGATCATTGAGCTCCTCGCGCGCGAATTTCAAGCCAAAACCTCGATCGACCTCCGGACCGACAGCCTCGCAATGGACCGTCTGCGCGAAGCGGCAGAAAATGTACACACTGTCATGCATATGTACAGAGCTTCACGCATCGTACTAGGCCAAGAAGGAGCTGTCGACGGCCAAGGTCAGCCACGTGAACCTGCCGTTCATCACGGCAGATCAGAAGGGTGCCAAGCACCTCGAACACGCCCTCTCGCTCTCGGCGCTGCAGCGGCTCGTGGCGCCGTCGCTTGCAGAAGGTCGGACGGTCATTGCCGCTGCGCTGGCCGACGCCAAGCTCACGCCGCAAGACGTCGACGCAGTGCTCTTTTGTGGCGGCGGGATGAAGTCCAAGTTCATGCAAGGCGAGATCGCAACGTATCTTGACCACCCCGTCGTCATCAACACGGGCAACGAGGAAGATGCGGTCGTGCGAGGCGCGCTCGAGGCCGGTCGCCGGTACTGGGCCGAGATGGAAGACGATCGCGCGTAGAGGAGGAGATCTACCACGTCAATATCAAGTTGATAGATTTCGGTAGCGCTCATTGGTCCGGCCAAGCATGCCGATCGAGATCAATGGTCGCAGATGCCAAGTGAAACACGCATGGAGTAGTCGAATGATCAATGCAGCAGAGCTCGTCAGCACAAGCCGAAAGCTGCCGAATCCCAAAAACCAAATACTGTATGTCGATTGGTCTATTTTAGAACCCAATCAGCTGCATTTTAGCCAATCAAACGACACCTCACCAGATTCCACCAACACACCACATAAAGTTCGTCACCCATCCGAGCAAGCACGATGGCGCTGCACTCCGCTCTTGCTCGCGCCGTTCGCCGGCCATCGCGTATGCGTGGCTTCGCCTCCATGGTTAAGACGACCGACCCTGCCATCACGGCGCAGCTCGCGATGTTTCCGGAGCTCAAGGAGAGCCAGGACTTGATTGCATCCTCGCAGCCCGCCCGCGCAGTACCGCCGCTGCGCCGCATGCTGCAGGTGTGCGAGTCGTTCTCGCCGGCGCTCGCGACCGAGACGGCATGGCTGCTCGGCCAGGTCCATGCGTCGCTCGGCGAAACGAAGGACGCGATTGCGCTCTTCCAAAAGGACGCGGTGCACGGAAAGGAGCAATGTATCCGCGTCGCGCTGCTTGCCGGCGACGTCGCCCTCGCACGCAGCCTCTTGTCCAAGCCAGGCGCGATGAGCGCAGACAACGAAGCACTGTATTTGCCGTTGATCGACTGGCTCGGCGGCCACCCGATTTCGGCTGCCATCGCGTCGACGGAGGCGTACGCCAAGGCCACCGAGGCGCTCTTGGTGCTTGCCACGCACGCGACGATTGACAAGGAATCGCGAAAGCTCACGCTTGACGAGGACATTGCCAGCCAAGTCATTGCCGCGTGGACAGCGGTCGTCGACGACGCCGCAACCGACGACGCCCTGCGGGCGCACGTGCATGCCAACCTCGGCGAGCTCTACTTGCTGCACGCCAAGTATGAAGAAGCCATGGAGGCGCTCTCGTATGCGCTCAAGTACCAAGAAACGCAGCCGGCGCTCTCGCTGCACTTGGCGCGGACGCTTGTGCTCCTCGCGACGGGCTACCACCGCTTGGGGAAGGCCGTCTCGGCCGAGGGCCTCTTTACGACCGCGCTGGAGACGTACGAGCGCAGCAAGCTGCAGACGTCGATCGAGTTGGCCGCGGCGGCCAAAGCACACATGGCGTACGGCGACCTCCTCTCGCAATGGGAGCGCCGCGAAGCTGTTGGCGCCAAGCACTTGGCGGCTGGCCAGGCGCAGCTCGGCGCGACGCCGTATCTCTGGAGCTTTGTCTACTTGCCCTTGTAAGGCGCGCAAAACACTCCCGTTTTTGGTTTGGTATACGTTTTCGGTTGCGCTATCCAGAGAATGACGAGCTACGACAGTCTCGCGATTGGGGGCGGTAAGCCTCGCGTCGTGATCGCTCGTATGCGTGCTGGCACCGACACCAAGCCCTAGTCCACACGCAGAACACCGGAACACATCGAGCGGCTTCGATCGCACCAGACGTGGTCGCTCCAACCCGTCTACGCGACAGCCAGGACGTCAGCTACGGCGACCACAGCTTTAGCTACAATGCCCCGAGTGAAGGCCGAGGCGCCGATTCGGGGAATGCCGACGGCGGCTCCAACGTCTAGCATATATATTTGCCCCTGGGTATCTATCTATCTTCTTTACCCGACGCATGATGGACCGATGGAAGGCGATGGCTAGGAAAGCGTCTGTAGGGGCCAGCAACGTGGATGGCGAACACGTTCGCCGCTTGTCGGTTGGTGGAATCCTCTCTTTCGTAACGCGAGTGCAGACGATTTACAGGGCACTTTGGTCTATCTTTTGTTCTGCCAAAGGCGTCCATACCCTTGGTTCTGTCGACAATCCACGATGACGACCACGGTTTAGGATAAACCAGTCCTATGCACCCAGCGCTTTACACGCTCGGCACGTGCGCATTCTCAGAGAATGTACCTCCAAAATCGCGATGAGCCAGGTTGACAGTTCTCTCGTCGCGCCACTGGAATGCCGAAAGCTCGTCAGTCGTACTAGTACAGTATTTGGAGCATCACACTCTCTCATGACAACGGCGTCTCCACGCTACGCATTGGCTACGTGGTCTTCCGTGGCGGTGGTATGCTGCTTTCCAGGACACTCTGTGGTCTTTTTTTTTAAACTCGAGTGCGTACCCCACGATGCTGGTGCGGCACTGTGATTGGCAATCCAAACCTTTTCCTCGTTTTGAACCAATAAGAATTTATCAATGGCGTTGATTTAAACCAATCAATCACTGTATTGACGTACGAGACACCTGGGCTGGTGAACCACAACGGTTCTGATCCCATGGAAGCGCTTATTGCATACGACTGGTGCATCCGTGGAAGATAAGTCGGTATGGCACGCGTTGATTCCTTTGAATGGCGTCTTGAAGCTCTTGCTGACGTCGAGGTGAGCTTGGATACGTTTTCCACGTGGCGCCGCGACAGCGCAGCATGACGATCGTTGCGTGTCGCACAGCAACAATCGAATATTCCAGCACCGTTCTCGTTGGCGCTGCTTTCAAAGCGACTTTTGACAACGTCGCAGCAACACGTTGTTTTCTACTCTGTTCTTTGGCGCACATGGAGCGCCTCATTGGGGCGCTGCGCACTTCGCGATTCGCACCCGATCGAGTATGAACTGGCAGCGCTTTCAAACGACCGAGTTTGGCGCGATCGTCGACAACGTGATCACTGCGCCATGGGCGACGATGACGTCGACACCGACGAACCCAGAGCACTACATGGCCAACTGCATCTACGTCGACGCGTCCGTGTTGCCTCCAGCGGATACGGACTTGGACGCAATGGAGACCATCCAGCGCCAGGCCCACGCGCGCGTTGTCTATCAGTTTATCGATGCCAAGGCCACGATGGCCCCGTATGCGTCCGAGTGGAAGACCTGTCTCAAGGCACGTGGTCTCGAGATCGAGATGACGCCGGCGTGGCTCCTTGCCTTTGATCTGGCGACGCAAATGGTGCCGGCACCAATCCATGCGACGCGAGTGCTGACCACGGTGGACGAGATCTTGGATGCTGATGGCGGCGCGTCACCGTACAACAGTGATGCGTGGTGTCGGCACCTTCGCTTGCAGCAGCTCGCGCGCGGTCCGAGCTACGGCTGCTTCGTGTCGTCGGTGGACTCGGAGAACAATGCCAGCGTGGGTGTTGTCTCGTTGCATCTCGCGTCGGACGGTGTCGCGATCGTCAACTGGTGCGGCGTGCCCGAGGCCCATCGGCGGCACGGCCATGCGACGAGCGCACTAGTGCGGGCGTTGGCGTATGCGCGCGACGAGCTCCACTGCACGCATGTCTACTTGACGGCGGTCGACGACGGGCCGATCCAGCTATATCAACGAGTGGGTTTCACGATCGTGGACGCCGGCGACGAAGTCCAGTGCCTTGGTCCACTGCTCACGCCGTAAGAACACTCGATTAAAGTTTAATGCCGAGAACGCAAGCTTTCGCACCCTTCATTTGGCGTGCGATGCATTTAGCTTTGTGGCGGTGCACCGCTCGGAATGACCATGGCGGGCTGTTCAAGGAGCCACGTTACAAGGGTTGGAAACGACAACATTTCGCGAGAAACATGGCTATAGGCGTTCAGAGACTACAGTCGTCCCTTATTCGACATCCACAGCGGTGATTGTCCACTGCCATGCAGACGTCAGACGACAACGTTGTCCCACAGAGGTCTACACCCAACTCTTTTGATCTCTAGGTTTGCTTTACATCTATCTTGCCTTACTTGACTACAATTGATAGTTGAATGGAGTGCGAAGCCAGCTAGATCGCATGACTCATTTTGCCTGCTCTGTCTAGAAAGCAACTCCACTTGACAGGTCTAGTAGTCATCTAGCACGCGTACACCACCCACTCTCAAAGCGACTTAACTGTGCACGACGCATGACAACATGTACGCAAAATGTTGGCTTGTTACGAAGGCCTAGTCGAAGATGTCCATTTTACGGCCTGCGCAAAACACTTCCCAGAGCGAAATACGGAGGTCGTGCTTGTCGGTGCTGTCTACAAACGGACGCAGGCCGCCCCGTACCAGCGGCGCCTGGTTCTTGTCTGGAACGTTTGCGTAGATGTGAGCTGCTTGGATCGTAATGTACGGGTTGACCTCGTCGCCCCATGGGCTGCGCCGCGCCGTCGAATGCGGAGCGAGTGGCAGCTCACGGATGCCGGCTCCGTCGTGAGGCGCCTCCAAGGCATTTCTCGAAGTTGTAGCCAGCGAAGCGCTGCCGCAGCTGACAACGTCGTCGACGATGATACTGTCGTCGTCGCCTCGGCGGTACAGGATCGCGACGCAAGCCGACGTGCCGTTGCGGCGAGGGGGAAAGAACTTGACGAGCACGACGGCGTTGAGCCCTCGGATCAAGTCAAAGTAGTCTCGGCAGTGGGTCTGAGCGGGGAGGAGGGACCGGTGGCTGACCTCGACTTCGGCAATGACGCAGGGATCGGGTTGACCCGGTCCAGTTCGCACGACTGGTTGCAGCCAAGCGTCGGGGATTACCGAGAGAGGCTCTCCAGGGACAGGATCGCGACCACGTGGGGTTTGACCACCCCCAGACTCCAAGCAGTAGTCGCTGGCTCGGGCGTAGTTGACAAAGTCGGCAATGATGACGTGGACAGCTTTCTCGTGCTCCTCACTGAGGTTTGTCGTGACGTAGAGGTCGACGGTTGCCGCCGGGTCGTCGTCGCTGCCCGAGTAGCGCGCGTCGACGACTCTCGACCAGCTCACGGCGTCGTTGCGGCGCACCCAGCTGGCCATGGGAATGTGCTTGGCGAACAGCACCTCGACATCGTCCTCCCCAGCATCCACGCGGCGCTGGAACTCGGCCATCGCGTCATCGAGTTTCCGGACGGTGACGTGGCCGACGAGCGGCTCGAACTCTGTACCATCCATGTCACGACGCTGCATGAACGACGAAGCGGAGCGACGAAGCCGTTTGGAGAGTGGGTATACGGCGCGTTCGATCTGCCGCTTGACCGTTAGGAGAGACGAAATGACGAAGACCATGGCAGGCTTGTCAACAGGTGCTGCTTGTTGGACAGAGCGGATGAAATGGACAATGCAATTCACCTGGCTTGTCGCTTTTCTCGAGGGCACAGCCTTTCCCGGCAGTCATCGAGCAGCCTTTTACATTTTTGTGAACTACAAAAACTGGCTTTTGGTTGAGCCAAAGTAAAAGATGCTTCGATTCGACGACTAATCCTGCTCGCAAGCTCGTGTTGCGAGGCAAACTTTCGGCTGGCGCTCAGGTGACAGTCAAAGGATATATCTCTACATGCACCTTGGCTCGAGTGGAAGACCTGTCTCAAGGCACGGTGTCTCGCGATCGAGATGACGCCGGCGTGGCTCCTTGCCTTTGATCTGATGACGCAGACCGTGCCAGCACCAATCCTTAACCCTCCAAGACCACGAGTGCCGGCGTTGGTGTATGCGCGCGACGATCTCCACTGCACGCACGTCTACTTGACGGCGGTCGACGACGGGCCGATCCAGCTGCACGAACGAGTGGGTTTACGATCACAGACGAAAACCAAACGCGGAGCAGAGAAGACGCAGCATGTGGCGCGTGTTCTGGACGCGATGGCAGCGTGCACGGCCACCGACGAACGTCGCTTTTGATGTTGCTTTCGTTACGTTGATTTATGTCAATGCCACATTACGAGTCATTTAGTTGAATGACCACTTGTAAACGACGACTCTATTCTATCGAGACGCCACTTGTTTGAACTCCAACGATGAGCTACCAAAAGGGTCAGAAAATAATGTTTTGCTGACGAAGAAACGATTGCTCTGAGCTGAAGGACCGATCGCGGCCGGCGCGAATCACTTAGCAGAGTGAAATGCCAAGGTCCTGCTTCGTGGAGCTATTGGACGCGGGTCGCCTGGCACCGATGCTTCTTGGTTCACGTCGGGGACGTTGGCGTAGAAATCGGAGGCTCGGAGTTTTGTGACGAAAGGGTTCAGAAAGCCTTCCCACGGGCTGCGCAACGTTGGCGTCAGCGGCAGCTCTTCCATCGTGGTGCGTTTCCAAAACGGACACACCGTGTGGGTCGAGCAGCGCGCTGCCACAGAAAACAACGTCATTAATGTCAAGATGCAGATAGCAACTAGTCGACCACCTTTTGTCCAGTCGGTGGATTCCTATTTCACATGCAGGAGGTGCGGGGTTCGAGCCCCGTAGGTGTTGTCCCTTTCTTCTCTTTCCCATCTGCGTTGGCATCGGAACCATCATGCCATAATTTATCAATGAACATAACATGACGCCGTCGTTGCACGTGGCCTATGTGAGCAAATAGCCCAACGCACACCCTCCCCTCCGCGATAGGACCGGGCCGAAAGAGAAGACGGAATGGGTCGCGCGCATTCAGGAAGCGATGGCTGCGGACGAAGCGTCGCTGTGGACGTTGCACTACTCGTCACTTTTAGATGTTTCTGTATATATAGATGGAGTGGCATGACAACTTATCCACTGCGATGGGTATCGTGCATCGAAAAAGTGTTTTGAGAAAGCAGTATTACGCAAGGGATCTGAGCTGGAGGGACCGCATGCACCGTGGCGTGGCTTCAAAATGGACGTCTTGTGCGGGTCAAGCCGCACTCTGCCACAGCAAAATATCGGTGGACGACAGCCACGCACGCCATTGACGTCGCAGTGACCGATTCCCTGAGAGGATATCCCAGCACATGTTGTTTTCGCTCCAAATTGCGCCCCATCGATTAAATGGATTCCGTATTCCATGTAATAGTTACGTATCATGTTTGAAAATACCACGTGCTCGTACTACAAAGAAGTGGTGGCAGCGGATGGCCGACCTAGTAATCGAAGATGTCCATGGTGCGGCCTGCGCAAAACACTTCCCAGAGCGAAATACGGAGGTCGTGCTTGTCGGTGCTGTCTACGAACGGACGCAGGCCGCCCCGTACTAGCGGCTCCTGGTTCTTGTCTGGAACGTTTGCGTAGATGTGAGCTGCTCGGATCGTAATGTACGGGTTGACCTCGTCGCCCCATGGGCTGCGACGCGCCGTCGAATGAGGAGCGAGTGGCAGCTCACGGATTCCGGTTCCGTCGTGAGGCGCCTCCAAGGCATTTCTCGAAGTTGTAGCCAGCGAAGCGCTGCCGCAGCTGACAACGTCGTCGACGATGACGGTGCCGTCGTCGCCTCGGCGGTACAGGATCGCGGCGCAAGCCGACGTGCCGTTGCGGCGAGGGGGAAAGAACTTGACGAGCACGACGGCGTTGAGCCCTCGGATCAAGTCAAAGTAGTCTCGGCAGTGGGTCTGAGCGCGGAGGAGGGACCGGTGCTCCATTTGGACGTCGCCAATGACGCAGGGATCGGGTTGACCCGGTCCAGTTCGCACGACTGGTCGCAGCAAAGCGTCAGGAGACACTGAGAGAGATTTTCCAGGGACAGGATGGTGACCACGTGGAATGTCACCGCCCCCGGACTTCAGGCAGAAGTCGCTGGCGTCGGCGTAGATGAAAAACTCGCCCTTGATGACGCCGACAGCTTCCTCGTGCTCCTCACTGAGGTTTGTCGTGACGTAGAGGTCGACGGTCGCTGCCGGGTCGTCGTCGCTGCCCGAGTAGCGCACGTCGACAACTCTCGACCAGCTCACGGCGTCGTTGCGGCGCAACCAGCTGGCCATCGGAATGTGCTTGGCGAAACGCACTTCGACGTCGTCCTCCCCAGCGTCCACGCGGCGCTGGAACTCGGCCATCGCGTCATCGAGTTTCCGGACGGTGACGTGGCCGACGAGCGGCTCGAACTCTGTACCATCCATGTCACGACGCTGCATGAACGACGAAGTGGTGCGATGAAGCTGTTTGGAGAGTGGGTATATGGCGTGTTGGATCGCGTGGGGAGACCGAACGAAGCGACAATGGTAGGCTTGTCAAAAAAAGTTGCTTGTAGGACAGAACAGACGAAATGAGCGATGCACCCGGCTTGTCATTTTTTCTAGAGGCGCATCTTTCTTTAACAGTCCTTAATCAACCTTGTACGGAGTTGTTGAAGACGCAAACTGGTTTGTTTGTGCTGCTCCTGCAAGTATTCCCACTCGGTGAACGAAACAGACCAGAGTACGGTTGCATACACCTCGTGGCCCATGGCACATCGCGCTTCTCATATTCTCTTTTGCCTCATCGTATAGCCTCCGAGCACCAATCTGGTTGACAACTGAAAGCGGATCTGCCCTAGCCCTACCCTAACCTTTGGAGCACGTGCATCAGCAATCGCATTCTTATTGTATCTTCCAACACTCTTACTGCCAACAATGTTAGAAAAGACCCAGTGCAACGACGAGCGAGGTGAGCGTGATGAGTATGGCGACACCAGGTGTGCCGCGTGCGCGGCTGGCCGTCGTGACGTTGGTCGTCGCGTTGGCTGTCGATGTCAATGGCGCCACAATCACATCGTCGTCTGCCGTCGCATTGGTGTCGTGATCGAGCGAAGACGATGCATTCACATGGGACGGCATCGATGCATTGAACGGCACCGCGGTTGTCGCGTTAAGCGGTAGTACCATACTCGAGTGGTTGCTGGTGGACGTGGCCGGCACAAGCGTGAAGCGACCGGTCGCGTTCGGGTGCAAGCGACTCGTGCGGTTGCGCCGCAGCACCGGCGGGCGACTAGGGACGGTGGTTGCATTGCGCAGCTGCGTGCGGTTGCGGGGACCGTCGGCAATGAGAATCGCGTCGACGTGCGTCATCGTCGCGTCCAGCAGCACGGTTCCGAGCACGAAGCAAGCGATCTTCATGTTGGCGGCTGGCGGACAAGTCGAGAATGACATTATTTGGGTGTGTTCGGTTCAGCATGCCTGTAAAGGCATCCCAGTGCGCTTCTGTACGTAAAATCAATATCACTCGGTAGCCCTAGCCCTTGTCCGTTACAAGGGCTGGGGTTCGAGTGACGGCTGGTCATTTTGCGACAGCATAATTCTGACTAAAACGTGGGTTGGCGTGGACACGTCTCCGTCTGTTATTCAGAAGAAGGACACCACCAACACGCGTGCCCCGAGAAGACACGAGATATATGGTTTTCATTCGTGGACGATACAAAAAGCAAATCGACGAAAAGGTTTCTTGTAGATGATGACCACACGTTCGCGTCCTGTAGCGTCCTTAGTGGCTTGTCGTTGCGGTCTTGCCGTCTACAACGCGAATGACGCGCGCTCGTCACGTAAAGTGTGTACCTGTCTCATCGTCTTCTTGCCTCAACTCGAGCGTCGAGAGCGTCCGGATCAAGAGGCTCTTTTCTTCGACAAATTGCTCGTCCTCTATGTGCCGGGTGGTTGATAGATTGATATTTCGGGACAATCTACCCTTTTCGTTTTGGAATTTCTCCAAGTAGGCAATGAGCTTCTCCTTGTTGGTCAAGAGAATTTGCGTGATCTCGTTGGGCTTCTTCGGGTTGGCCACAAACACCTTGAAGACGTGAAAGGCCTCGAATTGGATGTTGACGCTCGTGTCCCGAAGCAGATTCATCATCATCTTGAGGTTCTCGCGCTTGCTACGACAGACAATATTGTGATTGTCTACCCTTCTCGATGCGCATTCGGTACCAAATGTAGCGCATCATCACGTCAAAGTTGGACCGGTCCAGGAGGATTTCGCCCAAAAGCTATCATAAGAATCGTGTGCGGGATGAGTATGTTTTTGGGGTCGACCACGGGAGTACCTTGAGCGACTGGCGCCGCGTGACGTAGTTTTCCGACGAAAGCAGCTTGTTGTACTTTTCAAAGACCTAATCCAAGAGTTATAAACGACAGCAATAAAAGCTATAGAAACCATGTCAAAGTGCGACTCGAAGAACTGCGAGACGAGCGGCTTGTGGCGCGTGAGGAGGTCCTTGAACGTCGCAAAGGCGTCCGACCCAACGTCAAAGTTGGGCAAGTGCACGTAGACGTCGAAAAACTAGGCATCGTGAGCTCCAATTCATATTTGGTAGAGACGGGGTACCTTCCAGAGGTCGGGTGAGTGCAAGATTTGCTTGGCCAGCGCCTCGTGCCGGATCGACTAGCAATATCGATGAGAGGACCTCTTGGGCATGAGCCAAGCGACGGACCTCGCGCAGCATCGTGCCACAGTTGAGCGCAATTTCCGAGTGCTCGTAGCCGCGCACCAAGGCCGAGATCATCTGCGGCTGGCGCTCGACGTACGCGACAAACCCGCCCAGGTCCCGCCGCATGAGGTTGTTGTAGATCTGCGCCACGTGCTTGCGCGCCTGTCGTACCATGCATGAGTCCGTGCTGTGCAATGGGATGCGGATGGAGACGCGACGTGTAATACCTCGAATGGCAGCTTTTCGAGGTTCAAAACGAGCCGCGGGATCATGTTGTCGGCAATCAGCAGCATGGACATTTGCGCACACTTTTGCGGGTTCGACTCTTGCTCGCCCTACCCATGCGATGAATGAGGCGACGCGCAGGCCATCGGCTTACATCGCCGTAGAGCAGCAGCTTGATCTGGTTCAGCCGCTTGGTGACGATGTCCACGACCTAGTAACGACGACGTGAGCACCCTTGTTGCCGGCGATGGCGTACCTTGCCGCTCTTGTCGGGCTTGACAGGCGTGTTCGGGTTCTCAAGCGCCTCCTTGATGAGCTTGCTGAGTTGCTCGGGGCTCTTCTTGCGCTGGAAGAGCTTGTCCATGCTCCCTCGTCGGTTGTCGTATAAGCCGCAGGAGCCAAAATTTGGGATATACCCGATCAAGTACGATTGACCGTCTTTACCACCCGACTTTATTATGGAGCGCTCTCTCTGCAACCGCGTTAAGTGCGGATCATTACCAACGGGGACATCAGCGGCAACGACCTCATGGTGCGCGATCCGAGGCCAGCGCGCGGCCTTGACGCACCGATGCGACCATCGTACGGTCGTGGCCTCTGCTTAGAGACATGCTAGTTACATAGACACCAAGCGCTGGGTTATGCATGGTCTCCCCAACGGCGAGGGTTGGCTTCAACTTTGGCATCGCACAGGCTACTACTCGGTCGCCATCTTTACTACCTCAAGAATGCCCAACGAGAAACGTCCTTGGTGCAAACAACGATGTTTTGGTTGAGGACACGACCGCCTCGTCACTATCTTGCCCACAAAGGTAGCGACAAGCCTTCGCACAGCTTGTCATTGACACGACAGTGTGGTAGCACGCAGGCCTGTGCTCTAGAGTGTTGTAAAGCTAGACCCATTGTGCTAGCCGGTCCTCGACGACCAAGCTGCACGAAGCGATGCATGGTCGCGTGTGTTCGCACGTGTGTGAACGTCTCAAATCGGTTACGGCACCCATTGGGAGGCCGTTTTGGACGCCAAGGCGAGCATGGACCGCTACATCGTCGAAAAGGTCATTGGCGAAGGCACGTACGGGGTCGTGTACAAGGCTATCGAGAAGGTACATGCTCCAATCGATGCAGGAGGATCATAAGAGAGCGGTCTGCAGTCGACAAAAGAGCAAGTCGCCATCAAAAAGTTCAAGTTCCTCGGCGGTACAACCCCTTTTGCAAACACCATGTTCGATGGGCGGTAGACGACAACCTCTCCAAGCGCGAGCTCCAAGCGTGCTCGATGCTCAACCACCCGAACATCGTCACGTTTCGCTACAGCTTTCGCGGCGACGGCTACTTGCACCTGGTCTTTGACTATGCGCCGTCGACGCTCGCCAAGGTCCGCACTTAAATCCGAGCAAATGCCCGAGATTCAGCGCAAATGATCATCCGTTAGCTCGTGGCCAGAAACAAGACCGGACTGCGCCCGGCCCATGCGCGCGCTATCGCCTTTCAGCTCACAAAGGCACTGCACTGCTGCCACGCCAATCACATTATTCACCGCGGTCCGTCCAGAGTTCGGACTGTATCGACTTATAAACGTGTGCGTAGATATCAAGCCCGAGAACGTACTTCTGGACGCCAACGGCAACGTCAAGCTGTGCGACTTTGGTATATAGCGTCGCCACGGCCTCCGCCTCTTGCGATGGTGACTGCGTAGGCGTTGCACGCCCGATTCAATACGAAGGCGAGGCCTTGTCCGACTACGTCGCAACGCGCTGGTACCGCCCGCCCGAGCAAGAGCTCCGGTTTGTACGGTGGCCTGTGCGACGTCCTGCCCACCTTTTGGTCTTGTAGCTGCACCAACTACTCGTACAACGCCGACATTTGGAGTCTTGGGTGCGTCATTGCCGAGCTCTTCACGGGCAAACCTCTCTTCCGCGGCGAGAACCAACTCGATCAGCTGTGCGTCTCGTTTGTTTGCAACAAGATTGACGCACATCTAGGCGCCTCATTCAAGAAATGCTGGGGCCGCTGCCGCCTTCGCTCGCGGCGAAGCTGCCGAAAGGCGTCAGCGTCAGCAAGGCAACGTACCCAACAACGTCGCTCCGACTGGCGTTTAGCGAGACGATTCCGTTTCCCGAAGTCCTCGATTTCCTAGAGCGCACCGTGTCGCTGGCCCAAAAAAGCGACTCTCAGCCCGCGACGCACTGGACCACGTGCTCTTTGCCAAGCTGCGGCAAGAGGACCTGGTCGCGGAGGCCCAGAAGAAGCGCCGCCAGCGCCACCACGACGACATTGAAGAGGAGATTGACGGCGTGCGCACCGAGTATGAAGGCGACGACCTCGACGGCTCGGGCCCGACGCTCGACGACATGAAGGGCGACGACGAGGTGAAAAGCATGCGGGCGATGGCCAAGGGTTTTGGGCCGCGCATTATGGCGCCGCTGCGCAAGAGTCAAGGTGCCAAGGACGACGATATTCAAGAAATCATCGAGAGCGAAGACAACAACACGGTCGCGCGAAGGCGCCTCTCGCTCCACAGCAGCATCGCGAGCGAGCACAGCATCTACGACGACGACTTTGAGGACTACGAGAGCGAAAGCAAGCGATAAAACCACTCCATGGATGCGTACATGTACTGTACCATGTCGACAGACACGCGTCGACGGCCAACGCCATTTCGGCAGCGGAGTTGGGGCCAAGAACGAAAGACCCCTACCGGAGCGCCATGATGGTGACGAGCCTAAAGTCCATCTACAGAAGGGGAAGCGAGCACGGTCGGAGGCAAAGCTGTAGTCACCTCAGCGATGTACCCTCGGCCTTCGCCGCGACGGACGACGACGACGACAACCGTCGCCAACTGGACGCGCGCACCGCAATAAGATCTCGAATGCCGCATTCCCATTGGCTGGAAATGGCCCGCGATGATTGGTCCGTCATGGGCACTGGCCGCAACATGAGTGACATGGACTACGACGGCTACGAGGGGTACAATGGCGACGAGGTCGACGAGGTCGAAGAGGTCGAAGAGATGGTCGATGACGTGCCCATGTTCATCGCCAGCCGCGTCTACCTCGGCTCGATCGATGCGGCGGCGAATGCATCGGCGCTGCGCGCCAAGAACATTGGCTTTGTCCTCTCGCTGCTCCAACCCGAAGACGCCCTCGCGCCGCCGAGCTGCGCGCATCTGCGCATCGCGATGGACGACGCTCTCGATGAGCCGCTCTTGATCAAGCTACCGTACTTGCTTTACACGCTCAACCAAGCCTTGGCAACCACTGACGCCAATGTCCTCGTGCACTGGTGCGACGTGGCCTTTCTATCGCGCTCTCATGCATGTTAACATAGCGTCGCGGGTCGGTCTCGGTCGGCGTCCGTTGTCATTGCTTGGCTCATGACCACGCAGCAGCTCTCGCTCCACGACGCCTACCAACGCGTGCTGTGCGTCCATTGCCCTTCCTTGGAGTCGTCGTCTCATCACACGTCGCTTTAGCATGAGCCGTCCCTGGATCGAGCCGAATGCGACCTTTCTCAAGCACTTGGCGCTCTTTGAGAAGACGCTCTGCGTGCCAATGAGCGCCAGTACGCGGAGCGCAATCGACGAGCTCACGCCGATTCTGCCGCGCATGGACTTTCACCCGTCGTTCGTGCATCCGATCACGTCCCATGTAAAGGTCATGACGATCCGACTCGCCAGTGACGTCGCGGCCGACGGCAACTCGGACTTGCAGTACATTTACCCGCGCGCGATCGCCATAGCAACCACGACAACAGCGCCTTCGTTTGCGATGCTGCAGATCACCGACGTGGCGTTCGTCACCGTGCGCGACCTCACGGACGACCATGCCCGGCACGAAGGCTTGGCCTCGCGCGCCGACTTGCTTGCGACGCTTCGGCGCTTCTACCCTGACATGCACGACACATCGGCTTGCATTGTGATCTCGTTCGTCGCCTGCTAGTCGATACCCAGCGAGACCGTTCTTTCTAAAAGACCGTTGGTTGAAACACTTCTCGAATGCATCCATCCATCACGTTGAAGAGAGCTGGCTACGGCGCCAGCGCGTGCTGGAGCATCATCCGGCCGTGACGTGCGAGCTGATCGCGGTCCGAGAACGATCGACGCGGCGCTTTCCGAGGCGACGTGGCAGCTGCGTCGGCGCTTGCATAGCGCAGCAACGGCGGGGTTGGTCGCACGGGCGCCGAGAACTGGGAAAAGTCGGCCCACTCGGCTGCCTTTGACGACAGGTGGCGGCTCAGGCGGCGGCTGCTCGATGACGAGGAGACTGTCGAGGCTTGCGTCGACGACGACGTTGGTGGACTGGAGGCGGTCGTGAGCTAGTCGCGCGTCCGTCGTGCAGAGCAGGGCAGAGAGGATCGATGTACCTTGCCAAGGCGGGCAACGACGTGGGCGAGCGACGGTCGCGCGTCCGGGGACACTTGAAGCATGTCCTGAATGAGCATGCAAAAGCCCGACGAGTACGGAGGTGACTTGGGGAATCGAACTGTTCCATTGCGGATCGCGAGGACCTTGATCCCTTCGGTCGCCGACTCGAAGGGACCAAAGGGCCCGTACGCCATGGCATACAACACACATCCGAGGCTCCAGACGTCCGTGGCCGACGTGAGCTCCCCCGAAAGCAGTCATCGTAGAGCTCTGTACGTTCCATATACGAAGACGACCATCGAGAGCATGGACGCACCGGGTGCGCGGAAGGCGCCGCTGGAATATTGCGCGGCTGTCTCGACCATTGCGAGCGCATCGTGTTGCGACGTCACGCGCGTCGTCAAGGGCGCTACGGACCCGAGGTCCATGACGACCGGCGTGTTGGCATCATCGAGGAGGATGTTGGCCGGCTTGAGATCGCGATGGGCGAGTCCGAGCTGGTGGATCTCCATGACACCTCGGACGATCCCTTCAAAGAGGCGGACGCACTCGTCTTGCGTGAACGCAGGCGCCTCTATGCACATGTAAGAGCGACAGCAAGCGGCGAAGCATGCTACTCTGCGTGGCAGCGTCGTTCAAGACGTCTTGGATGGACCCGCGGGCCAGGACGGGGAAGAGCAAAAGCACCTCCTTCGTCCGCCCGAGCACGTTCTCGACCTCGGACCGCTGGCCATAGCGCTTCATGCGGATCTCCGACTCGACGAGCGGGAGCACGTTGGGGTGGGCGAGGCGCCGATGCAGCTGGATCTCGAGCAGCGCCCGCTGCAGCTGGTCGTCCTCGACGCACGCCATGACCTTGAGCGCGTAGCGCTGCTTCCTGCCATGACGATGGCCCTCGACGAGGTAGACCTCGGAGAAGCCGCCGCTGCCGAGCTTCCCGCAGACCTCGTACACGCGGCCGTTGAGCTTGACCGACTTGGCGTTGCCCATGGTTGCGATCTTTCCCGAGCCCTGTGCCCCGGGGTGCATAGTGGCGTGCAAATAGCCACTGCCCTTTGCACCGTAGCACCAGATGGATGAAAACACGCAAGATCAACTTGTTCTCTCGTCCGAGCATTGACGACCATGCTGCCAGCGCGGACCAAGGAGCTCGCGGCCGTCCTCGAGAAGGCCATGCGCGCGTCCTCGGGCTTGAAGACGCTCCGGGCGTCGACCTCTGCGTCGCCCTTCCAGGCGCTCGTCCATGACTACTACCTCCCCATCTTCGCCTGGGCCGAGTCCCAATACGACCGCCTCAACCCGCCGGCCGCGACGACCAAGACCTGCCTCGTCCTTGGCCTTAGCTGCGTGCAAGTACGCGTCCGCTTCCATCGCTGATGCTCATGCATGGTCCAGGGCGGGGGCAAGACGACCATGACGTCGTACTTGGAGCTGCTCTTCAAGGCCACAGGAAAGAACTGCGCGGTGCTCTCGATCGACGATGCCTACTACACGCGGGACGGGCAGCGCCGCGTCGCCGAAGCGCACCCTGGCAACCCCCTTCTCGAGGTAGTTGGACCGTATAGGATGAAGGCTCATGACCCCTTGGCAGTTCCGCGGCAACCCTGGGACGCACGACGTGAACCTTTTGCTCGACATCATCGCGCAAGCCAAACAAGGCGCCGACGTCGTCGTGCCCCGCTACGACAAGTCTGCCTTTGAAGGCCGCGGTGACCGTGCGCCGCAAGACGCGTGGCAGCACCATGCGGGTAATCCATGGGCGATTATCAATGACTTGACATGGATGCTTGCATATAGGACCCCTCGACGTGCTCGTCATCGAAGGCTGGTGCTTGGGGTTTGAAGCATCCAGCCTCGCCTTGTACATACCACGGATCCATCCGGCTCGGCTCGCTCATCGCCATGACGTAGGAGCCACCCGCACTTGACTCCGATCAACGAAGCGCTCAAAGAGTTTGACCGCATCTACGCCGAGCTCACCGCGATGCTAGTCATCCAGGTGCCCGACGCGCACTGCGTCTACACGTACATGACCTCTCTCGTCGACTTCGCGTATCCTCATGCAGCATGTCCTCTAGGTGGCGCGAGGAAGCCGAGGCCGACATGCGCGCCCAAGGCAAGCCCGCCATGACGTCCGCCCAAGTCGCCGACTTTGTCGACCGCTTCATGCCCGCGTACGATGCGTACTTGCAGCGGTTTTACGCGGCGATGAACACGAGCCGGGATGGCCGCGGGTTGGCGCAGAAGCCGCGCCTCGTCGCGCGCATCGACCGCCAGCGGACGTGCGTTGCAGTCCAGACGTATGCCGGAGGCGTCACGACGCCAACGGGCGCATCGTAAACGGGCTCGTATCCGGTCGAGCCGTTGGCCGACTCGACCAAACCAACGGGCCCATGTCCTGCTGCCTTATCCCAACGGGCATGTCTTGTCTTACAACCTCAATCACTTTTCCTTTGGCCGTGTCCCTACACGTTAGGGTGGGCGAGGCGCCGATGCAGCTGGATCTCGAGCAGCGCCCGCTGCAGCTGGTCGTCCTCGACGCACGCCATGACCTTGAGCGCGTAGCGCTTCTTCCTGCCATGGCGATGGCCCTCGACGAGGTAGACTTCGGAGAAGCCGCCGCTGCCGAGCTTCCCGCAGACCTCGTACACGCGGCCGTTGAGCTTGACCGCCTTATATCAATGTATCGGACCCGCCCAATGTCCTCCGCTGCCGCGGTCGTTCGTCGCCAAGTTTGACGACTTTGATATGAAGTACATTGACGGGAACGGTGACAGCAAAATTACACTGGACGAGCTCATGGCGCTGGTTTCAAACAGTGTTTTATACACTGTCTCTTACTGTGTTTTATAGCAAGTGACAGGCATCAAAGTGCTAAGCACCGCGACGTACAACCAGTTTCAGACAGAGTTTGCAGCGCTGAAACGCGCCCAGCTCCAAGCGCTGAACCCAACGGCGACGACAAAGTGACGTATGCAGAGTTTGCGGCGTGGATCGGCAACGACCCTGGCCTCATGTTTGACCGCTTCGACTTCGACAAATCCGGGTTGCCAGACTGTAGTTTACAGTGTATGTTGACGCCAACGTAGGTACTTGGACGAGAACGATCTCTCGCGCTTCTTCATCGACCGGCAGCTTCCGCGCTTCGACCTGATTTCGATCCTTTTGGACCCCGACCTTGACGGCCGCATCTACTACGATATGTTTGAGAGCTTTGGCCTCAACGTATGTATCAATATGTCAATTCTTCGCCTTGATACTCTGGCATGGATAGGCCACAATCCAGTACGACTTTGATCGCTCCAACAGCCTCAACAGCAGCGAAATCGCACTGCTTGAAGCCGACCTTGGCGTCACGTTTCACAACACCTCGGTTCTCGCGCGGCTCGTGGACCCGACTTCGCATCTGTACGTATCACTATTGTTATTGATCTTATGGCGTTTTAGGTTGACCTTTACCGCGTACTAGCAATGGATGAGCGCTTCAACGAGCCTCGTCCGCGACCGTGTCCAGCAGTACGCAGCGTGTACACTAATGAGAGAATTGCAACTATTTTGTGGGTATAAAATCGACAATGCGATCGAATCGACGCGACCCGACCGGATAACGGGCCCTCTCCACGTCGTCGAGCAGCGCCGGGCAAAGTATCTCAGCATCTCGCGCCTCGCCCCCGACTTTCTCTCGACCGAGGTAGTATTTTTTTTCTATTTTCGATGTTTCACGAATGTCTCGACCTTTATTAGACCCTCGTGGTTGAATTGGAATGTGACTTTGACGGCGAGGGCTCGCTCATCGTCTTTGCGCGGTTCAATATTCCCTTTGCGGATCTCAGTACTCTCTCAACGCCACCGCGCACTGTACTTTTTCGTCAATTCCTCGGTAGACGCATTCTCAAAATTTCCCTAACCCTACCGTGATCTCCCCTAGCACCGGCGGACTTCGGACACGTGGCGAGCTACTGAAACGGCTGCCAATGGGAGCTCCGACCGTCGGCGCCCGCTCGCTTCACCTACGGTGCGCTATATTTACAAGATGAGATGGCGTAAGCGCGTCAGGGACCGAGTGTGCGACGCTCACGCCAACCAACAACGCCGACTGCCTACCGTGCGCGTTGCAGTCGCCCTACATGCCACCCCTTGTGTTGCAGTACCAGAGCCTCGTGCCGACGCTCGACCAGTGCCGCAACGACAAGGCGCTCGACGCGTACGTCAAGCAGTTTGACCAGCAAGTGTCAATTACACTGCGGTACGCACGCTCTACATCAACTCGACCAACGTGCCCGACCAATACGGCAACGTCCTCGGCGGCGGCTAGCTTTTCAGCACATAAAACCACATGTCTTTGACTTTGGTACAAATTGTCTATGAGACTACAGACACCACGCAGACGGCTCAACTGGTTGCTGGATCTCGTAGACGAGTGGCAGTGTAGCTTTGGACTCAGGAGCGAGCAGCTTTGCTTGCGGCGGACGTGTTAGCACACTGAACGGGTAGGCGGACGCAGTGCTAGCGTCACCGATGCCCCGTGTGTCCATGCAGTACAGTAAGCTCAGCCGCAGCGTCTCTTGACGCTGACCGTTGCAGTAGGCAACAAGGAAGCAGTCAGTGGCGCGCAAGCTGATCATCGGGCAGTGCTTTAGGTGCGGATCTTGCTCGATGGCTTCGTGGACGCTGCCGCCGAGCGAGGTAGCCCCCGGTCGAAGGAGCCGGAAACAGTCGAAGACGAGTCGGCTCTTGAAGTTGTTGTACGTGTAGCTGCCATAGTCGCGCCGGCCAAGCGGGCTCGACCCACAACAACCTAAACAGCCCATTTAATGTCATATTCGACAAAGGAAAGGTAGGTAGGCACAGCGGCGGAGAAACCCATAGAGCACAGGCAGAATTGCAATGTTGAGTGTATCGAGAACGATCGCCAACGCCACTTCCACGTCGTCGTCTTTGGCGCTGGCTGGCGAAAAAGTCGAAAACGACCACTGGTAGAACGCCACCTTCATACAAATAGGCGACTAGTAGTTTTGTACGCACACACCACTAGCGTTACTGGAATCGAGACAATATCGAACATACAACAAACAGACCCGCTCGGTGACGACAATTCTTGCTCCTGACGCCACTAACTCTGGTACAGCTGGACACGCACATTGAAGACGACTGTAGCCAGGCTTTTCTCCAAGCTGCAAAATTTGCTGCATCCACGAGTCATTTCAACGCGCTCCGAGCACTCCTCCAGGTACACCACGGATCTATAAATCGTGGCCATTCGCTTCATGGACAAGTTGTCTGTATTTGTATAGCCTTTTTCGAACACAAGCGCCACACAGACGAGATGCTCTACCGACTCTCCGAGCCCATCTTGTGGCGGGCACTACACGCAGTGAATGACATGGTGCGCAACCATGCGCCGGTGCTCTTGTTTGACGGGTTTCCGTACCAAGGCCCGAATTTTCTCGAAGTAGAACTGGACGTGTGTCTCCAGCGGCAGTTTGACGCATTCGCAATGCTGCTCGAAGACGCGGCGCCCAGCGTCCGCATCGTTGCGATCCACGGCATCTGCAAGGTCCATCGCTCGCTCTAGTATCATGGTGTCAATATTAATATATGTCGGGCGTAGGTGCTCTCGATGTACTGGGAGCTGCTACCGGTCGACACGATCCGCAAGTGTCTCCTCAAGTGTCTTGAGCTCGCCCAAGACACGACGTCGGCCTCTGTCCGCGTCGCCGTCTTTGATGGTCTCCTCGTCGTGCTCGAAAACCATCTCAGTCATAATGTGCTCAAGCCATTGTTGCCGCAGGTAACTCTCGCGTCCTATCGCCCCATTTCGCGATCCCATCTCGACATGGGGCGAAAAAACGCAAAAAAAAACACGGAAAAATTCATGTCGCATGGCTAGTTGGCGCCATTGATGCACGAAACAAACGAGAAGGTCCGCGCCGCCATGGCCCGTCTCCTTGTCCGCGTCAAGAGCATTCGCGGCCTCCATTTTTACGACGTCGTGTCGCTCGAGCATTGCTTTAAGCGCTTGGAGCTCGACAAGGCCCGCCACGCGGTCGCCAAGCCGCTCACAGAGCTCTTTCTCAACTCGTACTTTCCCCAAGGCGTGCCCGGGTCGTCCCAAGTCGCTCGAGCGCTCTCGCTCATCGAGAAACACCCGCACGCGAGCTTTGTGTTTTACAAAAACGTGCATCATTTCGCGTCGATTGGGTCCGTGTGCAAGCTTGTCGTACTCCTCTTCAAGTGCTTGGGCGAAGATTCGATGGTCGAGCTCACACCGCTGCTCTGCGACGTCATGAAGACGCTGCTTGAGAGCGTCGCAGGTCCGCTCTACCACGATCCTCGGTACAGCGAGTGCGTCGAATTTCTCACGGCCGAGATCAAATCGGCCGACATTGCGGCCGTGTTTGAGGCCAACGACAAGACAAGTAGTCCTTTTTCTATATCTCCTCGTGCGTGAAAGGATGTACATTATTGCCTAGTGACGGTGCCCCTGTGGCATGTGATTGCGGTGCTACCCACGACGCTGCAAAGTGACTTGATTTACCATGTGCTGACGCAGCTCGAAGGGCTCACGGAGACGTCATCGCGCACGTATCTCGCTGACATCCTCCACATTCTGCAGCACTGGGGACAGCTGCCAACGTTTCTCGACACACTGGTCAAGTCGATGCAATCGTACGTCATTTGGAGTCGACAGCACGTATGACAATATTTATGTATGGTGTGCAGACAGGCCGAGATCATGGACCCGGTCCTCGTGCTGGCGTGCTTGGATGTGATTTTCTGCTGCGATGCGACGCTTTGCGAGTGGGTCCTAAACTCGTCCACATCGTTCGACAGCTCACGCAGACGCTCGAGCGGCCCTGGGAGAGCTTTGAACCGACGGTCTTCCCGCGGCTCTGTCGCGTGCTGGTCGCCGTGCAGCTCCAGCTCGCTGTGCCCAACGCCAAGGACTTGGTCGCCGAGTACAAGAAGACGGCGCCGCTCAGCGACGACGCCGTCGTGTTTCCTTTCCTGGACGTCGAGCCGCCGCGCGTTTTGCCCACGATCTTTGACCACGCGCTGTCCCGTGGCCATGGCAAGCGCAAGCGGCTCGCGGGCGACGACCAGCTCGTGACGCAGTTGCTGCCGCTGGTGCTGGATTTGAGTTGGATTTGTGTCTCGCAGCTCTTTTTGCCGTCGGCCAAGGCCTTCCTCGACAAGGTGACGACGCTTGCTTTGCGGCACACGGCCTTGGCGACCCAGCTGCTCCACGTGGTACAGTCTGAATGCTATACTCTGGTTCGAGTCTCTGATGGGATCGGATGGTGTAGCTTTGGACAAGCCCGTGCGTCGCCCGTGACAGTACGAGCGTGGCCTGGATTGAGGAAGCGACGACGAATCTGCTGCCGGTCGTCCTCCACGCGTCCGATGCGCTTTGGCTCCTCGAACGCATTCATCGCTCGTCGGGCAACCATCGGCGGACGTTTTGGCCGCTCGTTTTGAAAGCCATGGACGAGAGCGCGCGCTCCGGACGCACTGGCCGTCGAGCGCCGAGAGTGTGTGGAAGCCACTGCTGGATGCTGCAATCGAAGCCGCGGCGCTCGACCAGGATGTCGACGCGCTGACGACCCTCCTGCAGACCGTGCCGGCCGTCTCGGAGCTCGCGTCGTCGTGGCTGGCGCGGCAGTCGACCGCGCACCTCGATTTGCTGCCCGATAACGTGGGCATGTTTTGCAGCGTGCGTGCTAAGGAATAATACGAGACGAATTTAGTCGTGATTGGTCTATTGATCCATCGCACGTGGTACGGACAACTACCGTGTCTACGATTCGTCATGTTCTCGAAGAGTGTCATACCAACACCAGCATGAAAATGCGTAGGATTATCCATATCAACGACAATTATGGTTGCGCTGTTGTCGCCTTGAGAACGATGTTGACGATCTGCAGCATGCTTGGACGGTCCTCCGCGTTGAACGCAAGACACTGCTGCGCCAAATCCAGGACCCACGCCGGCGTGTTGTCCGTGTCGAACGTTGGAGTAATCGTGCCCGAAATCACTTGCGCCATGATAAACTGCTGGTTCATTGGCTTCTTGGTGCGCGGGTTGATCATGTCGGCGTACGGTACGCGGTGTGTCGAGTACTCCGAAAGCAGCACCCCTAACCCTTGTATGAGTACCCTAACCCTTCCGGTTTGAATTTGTACCGAACGAGTAGACATCCGCCGCTGTCGAGTAGTCGTGGCCCGTAAAGATCTCGGGCGCCATCCACTGGTACGTGCCAATGCCGTTCGTAAGCGTGTCTTCGTCCAACTCGCGCGACTCGCCAAAGTCCGTGAGCTTCGTACCCTAACCACATTTGTTTTAGATACAAGCGGGATGATACTAGAGGATAGGACCTTCTTGGAGTCGAGGAGGACATTCCGGGACTTGAGATCGCGGTGGATGATCGGTGTTTCAAACGTGTGGAGGTACACAAGACCTTGGACGACGTGCGCGATGCTCTCTTGTTTTTGCGTCCACGTAAACGCAGTTGGCGACGTCGACGACAAGAACGAACGCAGATCGCCGCGGTCCATGTACTCGACGACGCACTCAAGGTCGATCGGGCGCAGCCAGCTCGCACCAATCAGCGACACGGTGTACGGGCTGTTGATACTACGCACAAGGTAAGCATTTAAGCTTCGTTCCAAAGAATAATATAATCGAAAGGTGTACCGGGACATGAGGAGGATCTCGGTCGACATTTTGGCAATCGCTTTCGCCGACTTGTCTTTGGTGCGCTTGATCGCAACTGGCTGGCCCGCGTACGTCCCGAGCCAGACTTCGCCATGCGCGCCGGTAGCCATGGGCGATTTGCCAATGACTTGGAGGTCACTGGGTTCGAGGCGAAGCATACGGAGGCTCTCGAGTTCGACGTTGGCGTAATGCCGCGACTTGTCATCTGACGGAATCGAGTCGGTTGGTAAGCCCGTGTGGTTTACAGTTGCCGTGTCGTCCTGCGTCCCTCGCGTGGAATACCGATAGTACAAGGGGTCGAGGGTAGGCGGTGCTGGCTTGCGCCGCTTCCAGAGACACCACACGCCGACCACAAGGACGAGCACGACTGCCGCCGCCGAGACACCGACAATTTCGCCCGTGTCTACGATCCAGTAATGAGACGTTGCCCGACAGTACCAAGTCGCACTTGACGCTTCGGAAGGTGGCAAAGTCGTAGGAACCGCAGTAGTGGGGGCTGTGGTATGGGGCTTGGGATCTACCTTGGTGTGAGAAATCTCTGTCGCGTATTGAGAGATCGCGCAACGTACCAGGAAGTACACAGACGACAAAGTTGCGACTTGCATCTTGCAATGCCCAAAGCGTCTGGAGGGTACCGCCGGCTTGCGAGCACTGGGCTTGATTGGACTTGATCGTGGCACCGTCACGAATCTCGTACCCGCGGCGGGCCGTTCGCGGTGTGAGCTTTTCGAGGTCGTTAAGAATTTGGTACGTCGCATTCGAGACTGTGAACGTCGTGATCGTGCCGGTGATACCACTAGACAAAAAGTGGTCTATCGCACTCGTCAAGCAGAAAGATAATCTACAAGTAGTTTAACGTCCTGGTGAACGTGACATTGGAGAACGTCGTGATCGGGTTGCCAAACAAGGAACTAGACAGAGACATGAGGATATCTCCACTACTTGCGAGGGACTTGTTTTGCACAAGTAGACAAGATTGGAGAGGTCGACGTTGGCCACCACTTCGATCTTGTTGCCGGCAAGGTTCCTACACGATGCATTGGGCTCACTGCGCACAGGGTGCAGATACGCACAGGTGCCGCCACTTCTTTTGGTTGCCGGCATGGTTCTTAGACCCACGAAGTCCAGGCCACTACAAGTATGCCAGCACGCTTCCTTTTACACGCTCGGTACAGTGTTGTGAGGGTCAGCGGCAGCCCGGTTACGTTAACAATGCCTTGCCGTAGATTTCTAGAAGCATTTTCACACGAAGTTAGCCTTAGAGATGCGTCGAAGCACAACGCACAAGCTATCGAGGGCCGGCGGCCACACAAAGTCGGCTGCAAGTCCCGTGTACGCATTGATATGGCTATCACGTAAAGGTGTCCATTGATTGGCATGGGAAGAAGCGCAGTGCATGTATACCTACACGAGAAAGATTGGAATTCCGTGCGTCAGCATCAAGATACATGTTGTGAACGTACAAGGTAACAAGCGTCGGAGGCAGCTTCATGTTCGTCACGTCGACTGGCACAAGTTCTTTCGGGCCAATGTACCTAGTCGTTGGAGTCCATTGTCTACATATTGCAGAGGAAGGAGATAATTACAAAGCGTTGGCCTCGGTGTAGCCCGTCATGTCGCCGATCGCATCCTCTGCGTGCCACATGGTCCCATCTTCCTGCAGCCGCCCCTTCGGTTGCCCAAGGTACGCGCACGTCGTTGTGTCCACAAGGCACGGTGTCGTCAACAGACACAGCGCATTGCTGACAAGAATTGACGTCGCCTTCAGGTCGGCGTACGGACATGAAGCTGCCTGCGCGCCCATAGCGACAAGGCACACCACCACGAGGAAGCGCGGGATCATGGCGCACGTCCGATGAAAAACTGGAAATGACGCTAAATCTCTCTGGACGACGGACCTTATGTACTACATTACAGTATCCTTTTCGCAGTGCTCCGCGAGGCATGTGCCAGGCGGCAGCCGCCTTGTCCCACAGGTAGCCAACGTTCGGACAAAAACCCGAAGTTCCTGTGGATGCCTCACAAATGCAAAATCAGACCAAAATTGGCGTTTTCGTCCGCCCCAATCGATTGAATTGAGAGCCCGTCAACACACTGGTTTTTGGCAGGGGACAAAAATCGTCATGCCTTCATTACTGCCAGGACCTCAAGGCGGGCTGCTTGTAGGAATCGAGATCTAGATGGCTAGTTCTACGTCCGGGAAGAGATCGTTTCGCCTTTCTACTGTGGTGCAGCGCACCAGCGACATCTTTTCCTTGACGACAAGTCTCGCTTCTGGTTCTGGTCCGCTCGTATCTTCCCGTTCCGGTCTTACACGTCTCTTTCGTATTTCATGTCTATGACAATATTGGCCGGCTCATACATAACATCCTAATTCACTTTCCATTTTCCATCACTGTGTCCTAGTCTCCATCTCTGGACTTAAGGCTCAGCACAGCGGTGCACTACACGCACCAGTTTGTAGGACCTATTGACAAAAGTTGCCCAAGAGCTAGCACTTCATCGGAAGTACGATACTTGTCCCACGTGGCATCATCGAGCTCTTTCAACTCCCATGGCAGCAAGACTACAGGGCAGTGTCAGGCAGTGTACCGTGGGGCGAAAACTGACCCCACAGCACCCAGATGGCAATTATTCCAGGATTGCCGATCAGATTTGGAAATAGACGATGGATACATCTTGCCTATCCAACGTGGGCCGCTGTGGTCAATTCACACGCTCACAACGAGACCTTGTAGGTGGAAGACGTCGAATCCCGCTTTCTTCTTCAAGTAATCGACTCAGAGTCGTGTCGATTCCACCATTGTTGGCATCTTGAAGTAGTATTCCGTGAACATCCGGGATCCATCAGCAGCATTACTGACCACCACCTATCCAATAGTGTTATCGCCGTCAATGCATATCCTAAATAAGAGGCACTCGATGCATCAACATTTGGTTTTGTCGCCCTTTCCAACACGAGTACGAATGACATGTTGTATTGCCGCATTGTCCGACCCAATTCTCTGGCGGTCAACGGCAGGCGTCGACAGCACGAGGTCCTGCTCTCTTTCCATTTGTATCGAAACCTGTCGCTTCCGAGGGCGTCGGATCCGGGCGATACGTTTGCCTCCAACGGACTCCATTGGCGCCATTGCTTCTGCGGCCGGGTTTTTGACAGACAGTGCCCAATTATCGGGCCGTCGCACCGCTACACCAACGTGCTCGCGAACCGATGCAAGACACACAAAACTAGTCGTGGAATGTATCTAGTTCTCATTACTACTGTCGTATATGGCCTATATACGAGATCCTCGTGCGATCCCCGTCACGAGGCGGACCAGTATGGGATCCTAATACGCCGTTGGTATTGGTCGTCGTTGTCGGGTGCAGGAGCTCACGGATGCGATGGTGTTCGTCTTGGCAGAGCTTTTCAATCTCGGTCACGTCGGCTTCTTCGTTAAGCACGTAAATCTGCTCAAACGAGTGCACGTTCTTGTCCAACGTCGTCTTCCACGCATCGCCTCCGCAAATACTCAGGTGCGACTCGACGAGGAGCCGTTCGGCAGCAGCACGTCGACGAGCACCGTTCCGTCGGCGAGCTCGAAGCCGTTGATGTCTTCGCTCGTCACGTTGTAGAGGACACAGCGCTTGGCCTTGATCGAGTGCGCCGTCACGTTGATCAAGATCGAGTCTTCCACGTCGACCGCGTCCGTCGCGACGCCGCTGAGCACACTGCGCACGATGCGGCCGGTCGAGACCTTGGAGCCGAGCACGGCCACATGTGGGGCGAGGTCGGGTCGCCCATGATTGCGATCTTTCGCCAACTCGGTGCCCCGGGGTGCATAGTGGCGTGCAAATAGCCACTGCCCATTGCACCGTAGCACCAGATGGATGAAAACACGCAAGATCAACTTGTTCT